GAAAAGGGCTGTGCCATCCACATCTGGCTCTGGCATTTGCTGCCACTTAGTGGCATTTGATCCAAGAGGATTGATTCAGGATTTCCTATCCAGAGCTGTGCCACGGGATATTCTGCAGCCTGGGGGGTGTGGATGGGTTGGGAGAGATGGTTGGATGGTTGTGGTCTCCCAGAGCTGGGGAACAAAATGAATGCAGCTTGTCTTTAACGATTCCATTGGCTCTGCCCTCCCCAGAGCAGGCTCTGGCTGCCAAGCAGGGAAGCAGGGTCTGTATCCTGACTTGTTGTGACAGGACTGGAATACACAGGAATAACTCCTGCCCAGAGCTACATCGCTCATGTGGGAAAGGAATTTCACTCAAAAAGAATCATTACATGGGAACAACAGGAGCCTGCTCGAGATTATATATATATATATATATTTTAATCCAGCTTCTGTGTGAATTCAGTTTTCTCCTGCATTATTTAGTAAAAGGTTTTATAGGGGAAAAGGACATGATGGTGGCTGTGGATTCCTCCCCAGGAGCCCCAAACCTCACTCAGGTGAGCAGAAATGGGGTGGAAAGCACCAATAATCTACACATTTATGAGAGAAAAATCCTGTTAGAAACACTTTATGCAGTTTCTAATTAATCCAGTTATGGTATAGATGAGAGGCTTATTTTTTCCTTTCTGACACACAACATGTAACTGTTCAAAATTCCTGAAGGGCCAATAACTGTCCAAAGGGACTGGGATGCACGATCCCAGAAGGATGCTGTGGAGGAAAGGAGAGGCTCTTTTGGGTTGCAGTCTGATCTTGTGATGCACCACTTCCCTCTTTTCCCTGGCTGCAGGGCAGCTCTGCAGCTGAACATTCCTCCCAGTCACTGTGGGCTCACAGTACAAAGTCTCTCCAGAGGGGGTCTCCTCAGGTCAGGCTTTGTGGGGAAGCCATTTAAATACACTCACAGCAGCCTAGTGAGGGCTTCTTTTCCCATTTATACAGCAAAATCCACTGCCTAATGCTGCAAGATTGGTGGCTCCGTGGACTGTTCTTTTCTAGAGGTGGGAATAAAACTACCAGTCGGGGGAGAAAAGGGAAGTAATTCCTTACAACTCTATTTTATGGCAAGGTTAACCTGGTCTGCCCACTGAGGGAGGGTGGAGGGGTTCGTTCTGCAGTTACTGGCCTTGGGTTGCAACAGGAAAACCAGTTTTTCTTATTCCCAGCCTGCTGGAATAGTTGGTTCATGGAGTATCACCTTTGCAACACCGTCAGAAGGAGCTGCCTTGTTGATCAAGGGGAGGTTTCCCACTTGGAGCTTGCTGTGGTGCTGACACTTCCTTCTGATTTTGTAACCAAAAGGGGGGGGAAAAAACCCATCTCGCCTTGGGGGTTTTTAACATTTCCCTTGCCCCCCCGGGTGTCAGCAGGGCAGTGCTCACCAGCAGCCCCTCCCCAGCCAGGCAGCGATGCAGGGGGGATGTGGGGGCTTCGGGGAGCTGCTGTTGAGGCCTGTGCTGTCCCTGTGTTGCAGTGACCATGCAGCAGGTGGCCAGGACGGTGGCCAAGGTGGAGCTCTCGGACCACGTGTGCGACGTGGTGTTCGCGCTCTTCGACTGCGATGGTGAGTGAGCCCAGCCCCGAGCCAGGCTGGGGGAGAAATCCAGGGGGGAAAACTGCCCTTCTGCTCTTTGGGATCCGTAGAGATGCTCCTGCCCTTTTGGGAAGGGCGTCCAGTGGTCCCCACCTGCTGGGCGCTGGATGGGGGGGTTTGGTGGGCTCAGCTTCTTTCCCCCCCTCCCCAGAACTCTGGTCTGTGTCACAAAAGGAGCTGTTGTGCTCCAGTGTTGGAAGCGAGCCGATCTGGGAATCGTATTTCCAAAACCCTGGACAAATATCAGCTTAATTAATTCACGGCAGCTCCGTGCCCTGCTGGGAAGCTCGTTGCTTTGCTGGCCCCAGCGCTCTGAGGGCGGTTGTTGCCACACTCAAGCACTCTTGGGTTGATTTAATGAGACCTACTGCAGTCTTTGCCACCAGGGAACGATGGCAGCGATTCCAACTTGGAAAGCAGGAAATTCTGCATTTGCCCAAAGCTGTGCAGCCAAAACCAGAGTGCCTGCTGGCTCCCTGCTCCTCCAGCACCGTCACTGGGATCTGGCAGCTCTGAGTGGCAGTGGCAGTGCATAAATATGAACGTTAAAAAATATGTTTAATTATTTTACTCCTTCTTGTCCCTCTTGGTTTCAGCCCCGACCTGCTGCTTTGCACCTTTCTAAGGTCACATCTTGTTTTATTTTCCTCTATGCTTCAGTGCCACTTCCTGATACGATTTTCAAGCCGGATCATCAGGCTGGAGTGAGCCAAAACATATCCAAATATCCCCCATTTGCATCCCCTCAGAGGAGAATCTGCTAAATGTTTTGATAGCAAACCTTTGAGGGGAAAGACTTGGGTTGCCAAAAGAGTCCCCCTAGGAAGGAATCAAATGGACAAGCAGGCACAGACTCTTTTGTTTGTTATTTTGGTGTTTTCACTCCATCAGCGTTTACAGACATTACCACCTGCACATCAAAAACCTGCAGCACCGGAGGGAATTTTCCTGGCCCCTTGATAGTTTGCTGGAACTTAACCTCAGTGGATTAATGAATCTTCCCTTCTACTCCATTAAGGAAAATTTGTGCTGTTACCCTGCACTCCTGTAATTTCCTAAATCACTTAAAGCAGAGAGTTTTCTGTGGGGCATTTGCTTTTCTGCCTTCAAGACTGGCCCTGCAAGACGTGGCAGTGCCAGGCAGAGCAGGGCAGCATCCACAGGGCTGGGATTTACACACTGTGCCTCGGGAACCCTCGCTCAGCGGGATATTTTGGGAGGTGGAAGCCAAAGGTGGCTTGGTGCTCTGCAGGGAATGACACCCATGCTGCCCTTTAACATTATCACTTTAACGTGGGTTCCTGGTGGGTTCCTGATGATTCTCCCTCCTCCTCGCAGGGAATGGAGAGCTGAGCAACAAGGAGTTTGTTGCCATCATGAAGCAGCGCCTGATGAGAGGCTTGGAGAAGCCCAAGGACATGGGCTTCACTCGGCTCATGAGGGCCATGTGGAAGTGTGCCCAGGAGACAGCGTGGGATTTCACGGCGCCCAAGCAGTAGCGGGGTCGGGAAGGAGCTCCCACATTCCATGGATCAGCCCCAGCACCCCAGCGGGGCAGCACCAGGCTCTGGCTGTCCATAACAGGAGGTTTTTGTAAATCCAGGTTCAATATCCCAGCCTGTTGCATTTGCAGCTTCTGCTTGCTGCTGCCTCCCTGCAATTCCTCTCTCTCAGGAAAAAGGAAAGGACTTCCACTGCCACCACCTCTGTGATGTGCTGTGTGGGAGAGCCGGGGGTGGAGCAAGCTGGACCCAAATCGCCTTTATTAATGCTATGGCAAAATGGCACCAGGGTTATCTTTGCTCTTGGATTGGTCCTGGGAAAGATTCCCGGGTTTCCTGGATCCCACACCAGGATTTCAGATGGCCAAACACTCCGTGCACCCCTTGGGCTGAGGTGCTGCCTCTGGGTAAGAGCAGCTAAAAGTGGTGGAGCAACTGGCTCTGCTGCCCTTCCTGCCTTGCAGGAGGTCCCTGATGGATTTCCTCAATTGAGAGCCCTCTCTGTGGGGAATTGTCCTGGGAATGTGCTGACAGATGTTTGCTGAGTGCTGCCCTCTCTGTAAAATGTCCTGTAAAGGTGTTGCTCACAACAACGTGGCTCGTAGCTCGTCTCTCTGGGTTCCTTCAGCTCTTCACCCGAGGCTGGTGGTGAACGGGGCACAGCACATGGAGTGTTTGGGAAAGGGAGGGGAAAAAAATCCCACAGCTTTCCAGAGCTGGAAAGACAAAGGGGATAAATCACCTCTAGAATACCTTCCTTCCTCAGCCCAGCAAGGACATGGAGCTGCTGGAGCCAGTCCAGAGGAGGCCCCAAGAGGATCAGAGGGCTGGAGCAGCTCTGCTGGGAGAAAAGGCTGGGAGAGCTGGGATTGTTCAGCCTGGAGAGGAGAAGTTTTGGGGTGACCTGATTGTGGCCTTCCAGGGCCCGAAGGGGGAGACAAGAAGAAAGATGGAGAGAGACTATTTCCAAGGGCCTGGAGTGCCAGGACAAGGGGGAATGGCTTCCCACTGCCAGAGGGCAGGGTTAGATGGGATATTGGGAAGAAACTCTTCCCTGTGAGGGTGGGGAGGCCCTGGCACAGGTTGCCCAGAGAAGCTGTGGCTGCCCCTGGATCCCTGGAAGTGTCCAAGGCCAGGTTGGACAGGGCTTGGAGCAACCTGGGACAGTGGAAGGTGTCCCTGCCCATGGCAGGGGGCAGAATGAGATGGGATTTAAGGTCCCTTCCAAGCCCAACCATTCTGTGATTCATTCCATCTACTGTCAAGTCCTTCCTCCCCTCATTTCCCTGCTGCACTCGGGTGTGGATCTCATGTCTCACACGTCACAACCCGCAGCCACAAGGTGAGGGTGCAGGTTTGTCCCCCCTGTCTGCAGGAGGGGCTGTGCTCCCCATGGACAGCCTCCACGGAAATACCACCATTCTCTCCTCTGGAACTAATTTGAGGCCGTTCCATCCCCAGCGGGACTGAATCCATGGAGCAGCCCAGAGCAGCCTCCTCCCTCTTCAGCATGTCCTTCCTTCCGCCGTTCCAGGCACAGTCCCTGGAGCCCCAGGAGCTGTTTAAAAGGCAAGAAACTTGAGCTGAGAGAACTCCTGAAGGGGTTAATCCTCCCCTCCTGCACCAGGGGCCGGGGGTGCCCTTTTTGGGGAGAAGGGGGCGGCCGGCTGAGGGGGATTCCCGTCCCCCCGAGTCCCTCTATGCCCGCATCCCCCGATCTCTTTATCCCAGTCCCCCCCAGTTTGTCTCCCCGGACGTTCCCCGGGCCAAAATGTCCCTCATGGCCCCGCCCCGCAGCGGGCGGAGTTTGATGACGTCATAACTCCGCGCCCGGTCCCGCCCCGCTGCCTCCCCCCCCCCTCCCGGCCGCCGCCGCCATGGAGTCGAACCGGGACGAGGCGGAGCGGTGCATCGGCATTGCGCTGGCCGCCGCCAAGGCCAACCAGCCCGACAAGGCCCGCCGCTTCCTGGAGAAGGCGCAGCGCTTGTACCCCTCGCAGCGGGTCCGCGGTGAGCGCGGGGCCGGGGCCGCGGCGGGGGGGCCCGGGGGGAGCGCGGCCTGCGCGGCCGCCGCCGGGCCTGACCTCTCACCCGCACCGCGCCTGCGCAGTCCGCGCGGGGCACGCTGGGAAAGCGAGTTTGGCGGGGCCCGGCGGGGTCGGGGGTCCCGGTGACCCCCGGGCTACGGCACTGCCCGGTACCGACCCCTCGCCTTCGCTGGGGCCCGGGCAAGAGGCTGCCGGGGAGGGTAGGGCCACCCCGGGAGCTCCCTGGATCCCTGACGCCGGGCTGGTGGGAGCAGCGCTGCGGGGCTTGGCAAGGCGGGAGAGAAGTTCTCGGGGGGCTGCGGAAAGCCTTTCACCCTTCTCCTTCTCTTCTGCTCCTCCTATGCCTCCTTTCCCACTCCTATTCCTCTCCTCCTATTCCTCTCCTCCTCCTATCCGTCTCCTCCATATGTTCCTCCTTTCCCCCTCCTATTTCTCCTTTCTTATTCCTGTTCCTTTCCTCCTTCTCTTATTCCTCTCCTGCTCCCATTCCTTTCCTCCCTCTCTTACTCCTCTTCTCTTCCTTCTCTTCCTCCTTTCCCTCTCCTATTCCTCTTCTCCTATTCCTCTCTTCCCCCTGTTCCTCCCCTCCTCTTATTTCTCTCCTCCCTCTCTTATTCCTCTTCTCCCCCTCTTATTCCTCCTCATCTCTTCCTCTTATTCTTCTCTCCCTCTCTTGTTCCTTCTCCTGTTCCTCCTACTTTCCTCGTCATATTCCTCCTCCTCTCCCTCTCCTATTCCTCCTCTCCCTCTCCCGTTCCTCCTCCAGCAGTTTCCCACCGTTCCCAGACAGACAGGCCATGCTGAGCTCACACCCTCATACGTGGAACAGAATAATCCTCCTCCTTGAAGGCCTTTGGAGTTTTGAGGAAGGATCTCACTTCCTGGAAGCTTTAGTGAACGTGGGAAGTGGTCTTTGGAAGCAGCCAAACACAATCCTTTCCCTGCCTGTTCTGACGTTGCGGAAATTTATACAAAGGGCCGTGGGTTTATTTTTTTTTTCACTTTGATCTCATCTGAGTTTGGATTCTTTGGCTGAGCTTTGCAGCCTGTGTGTCCCAGGGCTTCCTGTAATGCTCCTTTTGGCTGCTCCAGCCTCTTCCTGCTCCCCCAAACACGGCGTGTCAGCCTGTTGTGAGTGCAGCATGGTTTCCCTGCCCTCCCTTTCCTCCGAATTTATACTTCTGTGAAATTGCTGCGTAGGAAAAGTGACTTTTGGAGGAAGGCAGAGGCCGTGGGGGGGCAGCAGGGGCAGGTTAATGTTAAACACAACATGGTAATTTGTGGCCAGCCCCAACCAAGTCTCACATCCAAGGACCCTTTGTGTCTGGAGTTGGGAAATGCTGCCGTACATCCTGCGGTTCCATGGAGGTCACTGAGTCTCCAGAGCTCCTGGGAAGTCTCTTTCCCACGAGTTCCAGGGGGTTTGGCAACACTCAGCGACGTGGCCCTTGTGCAGCTGCAAACCCTGACCCCAGCTGGGTCTTTGGTGTCGTCACGGGGCCAGGGGAGGGTTTTGCAAGGGGATTTCAGCAAAAACCCTCTGTGTCAGCGCAGCCCCAGTCACCTCAGAGTGGGAGTTGGGGAAGTTTTGCTGGACAAATGTTGGCTGATAAGCGAGGAAAAGTGGAGCTGAGGTGGCAGAACTGAAAACTGATTCAGCTCTGTCCGCCCCAGGAGCCCGTGGATTTGGGCTGTGCTGGGGCTGCACGGGGCACCAGCGTGGCTTTGGGGTGCAGGAGCAATAGGATCGGGGCTGCAGAGCCAAATGGAGCTGTGCTGTGGCCATCCATGGATTTCTGTGGTTGGATTTGGGAAGTGCACTTTGGGGTGGTGGTTGATGACAAGCTCAGCGTGCCCCGGCCGTGTGTGCTGGGACACAGAACCCCCCGAGTGCTGGGCTGGTCCCAGGGGCTTCCCACTGACACACAGTGGGGTTAGGTGGGATATTGGGAAGAAATTCTTCATTGTGAGGGAGGTGAGGCCCTGACACAGGCTGCCCCATCCCTGGAAGTGTCCAAGGCCAGGTTGGACGGGGCTTGGAGCAACCTGGGCTAGTGGGAGGTGTCCCTGCCCATGGCAGGGGGTGGAATGGGATGATCCTTAGGGTCCTTTCCAACCCTGTGATTCTAAAATTCTCTTGGCAAGCTGTAGGGAACTGAGCCCAAAGCAGCAGGAGCAGGGGGTGGGGGGGGGAACAGCCTTGTGAGGGGAAATTTAAAAGCTCCAGGTTTGGAAGGAGCAAAAGCCAAGCCTGTGCTTCTGTGAACGCTGGAGTGGTGCGAATATGAGGGAGGGAAGGATTTGTTTTTCTGAAATAAATTATTTTTACGTTAGTGAAACCCCCCCAAGCTCAAAAGCTCACCCACTGAGTTACTGCTCGTTACCCCACTGTCATTTTTATCCCTCATCCCCTGTTGGCTCTTGGATTACAGAGTGGATTTTTCTTGCCCCTCCAAGCTCTGGGGGCAGATAGGATATCTTGGCTATCTTGGCTCATCTCTTGGCCTGCAAGCATTGTTTGCACTGGCTTTAAGAAGGTGATACCCTCATAGTGCAAGGTCTGTAGTGTGCAATCCATGGGAGGAGGTGGAACATCCTTCTCAGTTCTGGGCTGTGGATAAAGGACTGCAAGCTCAGGATACTGAGGCTTCTGTAAATAATATGTCTGGGTTTAATCATAGTACATGTGCCTGTTCTTTTTGATGAAGAAATCACTCAGATTTTAAAAATAGTGGCTATCCAGCTGCCGGGGATGATGGAAAGATATTCCATGCTCGGAGTCTGCCTCGGTTGTGTCTCCTGTGTGGTTAGGCCAGGCCTGGGTGTTTGTCCCCTGCTGGCTGAAGAGGATGGAGGACAGTGCCTGAGCCTTGTGAGGAGGAAAAGCAAAGGGAAAGTGAATTTCTGCAACTCCTGTTCAGTAATTAAGAGAGAAAATGGTTTTCACAGCTGCTCCTGGTATGTGGGTAAGAGAGGAGAACAAAGTGTGACTGGTGTGAGGGGGCCTGTCGTGCTGGCAGCCACCAGTGCTGCAGTTCTGTCCCCAGAAAGGGGGAGTGTCCCTGTGGGATTGGCATCCCACGGAATCATTCTCCAAGGTCTCTAAAGATACAGCATTGTCACATCACTTCCCCAGCACAGCAGACTCTCAAAAGGAGGAGATAAAGAAGAGTAATACGCTTTATAATATGCTAGAGGACAAATTTGGGCATGCTTTGCTGCTGAGGAGAGATGTAGGGGGGAAAAAGGACAAGGATGCACCACTTTGGTGATCCACTGTGGCTCCTGGGCTGTCTGGTTGGGTAGTCCTGGGGTTTTGATGGAGGCTGTGTGCTTTGGGAGAAGCAGGGAATCTCTTCAGCACTAGCCCTCATATCTGGGCAAGAAGCAGCAGGAGCTGGAGGGTCCCTTGGGTGGAAGGGTTGGGGTCTTCCTGAGGAAGGGCAAGGGGTCTTAGAGCAGTGGCAGAGATGAAGAGGGGTCTCTTCATGGTCGAGCTGGAGGGGCAGATTGAGCTTGATGGTCTCTTAACCTCTTTATTCTTTACCTTTTTGTCGTTCCAGTCCTGCTGGAGTCACTCAACAAGGGCGAGCAGTCGGCCAATGGCCAGTCCCAGTCCAGGGAGTCCACAAACCCCCCCTTCAGGAAAATGAGCGGGGACTTCCCGTCAGCCAACGGAGAGGCCGGAGGGGAGGCCCCCAAGGGCTACACTCAGGACCAGGTGGATGCAGTGAAGAGGTGTGTGAGCAGCTCTCTGGGGCAGTTTGTTTGGCTCTATTGTGTGGCACCGCTCTGGTTTCCACAGTGTTCTAAAGATTCCAGCTCGGAGACCACGTGGAGTGGTGTTAAAAGCACACCCAGGAGGATTTATAGTTCCAGCAGCCCTGGGAGGCGGCTGAGTTGAGTCTGCCCGTTTTCCAAACCCTGTTTCAAGCTTTCCTTTATTCCTTTCTACCATTTGCACATCCTGGAAGCTGAAGGACTGATCCCCAGGCACAGTCACTTAAATGTTGTTTGAGGTTAGGGGCATGGCCTGAATTGCACAAGAACCACTCTAAGGGACTTGCAGGGAGGTTTCTTACATCATCCACTTCTCCAAAAACCCGGCCTGCTGGATTCTGTCTCAGATGAGTCACGTGAGAAGCAGAAACCATGGCTGGGCTGTGAGTGTGCCCAGGAGGAACTGGACTGCACACCCTGGGCAGCTCCCTCCTTCCTCCTCTGGAATTCAGCTGTTAGTTTTAGGTCTGTGAATTAGCTGAGGAGAGAGGAAGGGGAAAATTCCAACAAGCCCAGATATCCCCCAGATCCCGTAGTCCCTCCCAAAGAGCCTCCAAAACGTGAGAGTGACGAGTGCGAGGTTTATTTGCCGGTTCCATTCCTCTGCGGGTGATATCCCGGCCTGAGGAGAGGCCCTTCCACCTCTACTGGCCCGACTCGTTCCGTGGGAGTGTTTGTCACACCCGGAATGAGTCGGTGAAAACAACTGGGTCACCCCGTGAGGGCTGAGTCACCCCGAGGGCCCTGCGCGCCGCCGCCGAGGCCGTGGTGTCACGGAGCCCGCACCTTCAGGGCAGAGGGGTTTTCACTCCTCAGACTCCCCGCTTTCTCCCCTCTCCTCTGACAGGGTAAAGCAGTGCAAAGACTACTACGAGATTCTGGGAGTGAACAGAGAAGCTTCTGACGAGGACCTGAAAAAGGCCTACCGGAAACTGGCGCTCAAGTTCCACCCGGACAAGAACCACGCGCCGGGGGCCACTGAGGCCTTCAAAGGTAAAGGCAGCTCCAGATTTGGGATCTGCCCCCGACTGTCAGGCAGTGGCACCGAGCTGGGCTAGTGACAGCTCCTAAAAACAACCTCCCGGGTCAGGTGGAGTGAAGTCAAGCTGCTCTTTGTGAAGTTGTCTCTGTTCGGAGCCGGTTGGATCATGAACGAAGTATAAGCTTAAAATAATAAGCACAGGTTGGTGCGGGTGGGATTCGCCTCTGCCGGTGGGACAAGGAGCAGCCTTCCTTCCCTTTCTCCCAGCAGCCCTTCCTGTGTGTTGCTCCAGCCTCCTGCCACGCTACTCAGAAGGGAATTCCCTCAGGATGTGAACCATCCTGGCTTTTTGGAGAGTTGCAGGAGTGTTCACTTAACAGGGAGAAGCCCCAAGTCCTGCAGGTTCTGGGTGCACCCCTGTCTACTGGCAAACCCAGGAGAGACCCAGGGAGTTGTGCAGCACCAGAAGCAGCTCTTTGGCTCATGAACCCCTTGAGAGAAACGTTCTAGGAAGCACCTGACCATTGTGAAAGGCTGTGGATGGAATTGGTGGATAGGAATCCCACGTGGAAGTTTCTGGGGTGTAACTGAGCCCAGCCAGAACTCAAAAAAGGTCACCAGGAGCTCCAGTTCTGCTGCAAAGAGCCCCGTTCTCAGGGCCTCTCTGCAAATGCAGCAGGAATGTTTCCTGGGTAATAAGATACCTTAAAACTGGAGTAATTTTCCAAGACGTGGAACATGTCCAGTGCTTGGAACGTATAACCCCATTTTCCCCTGCAAGCTGTGCAAGTTTGATTCTTATTGTTGAGCTAAATGTGGTGTTAAAGCCACAAAAGTGGTCTGATTCTGGCCATTTTCTAGGAAGGAATTCTCCCCTGTGAGGGACATAAGGCCCTGGCACAGGTTGCCCAAAGAAGCTGTGGCTACCCCATCCCTGGAAGTGTCCAAGGCCAGTCTGGATGGGGCTTGGAGCAACCTGGGCTAGTGGAAGGTGTCCCTGCCCATGGCAGGGGGGTTGGACTAGGTGGTCCTTAAGGTCCCTTCCAACCCAAACCATTCTGGGATTTGGGGAGTGAAATGCATGAGGCTTCTACTGGAGCAGGGAGCAAGGCTGACCTGGTGTGAGTGTACTGATACAGTATTGGGGTGAGCTCCTTGCAGACATGAATTCAGCAGTAAAAGTCTTATGTAAGGTTTGTTCAAGTCTTTTAAGACTTAAATCCTTAGCTGATAAGTGTTAGCAAACAGTGAGCTGCCCCCCAGCTACTTGGGAGAGCCTGTGTGGTGTGGGGGGCAGATGAAAGAGCATCTGCAGACAGGTACAGCTCTGCATGTGCAGAGCTGCTGCTCAGTGGCTCATCCTTGGATCCCTGCTTTGGCAAAAGGCAGGTTTCCTCACCTGTAATCTCCCAATAATGATGTTTGCAGAGGGCTCTGACAAGAGTTACGTGCCAGAAGTGGTGTGTTAAGCAAGGTGCCCTTTATCCCCTGCTGCAGAGCTCTCTGCTCGTGAGTTATCTCCTCCAGGCCTTGCCTCCTTGGCTCCCTGTCCTTCAGCCCCCAAGCTGAGCTCCCAGCTTGCTGAACTCCAGCTGTTTGGTTCCAGAGGGTGAAGGGGGAGCCTGCACTGCAGTGAGGGTATTAGTTAATTTTTTCTTACGTTGATGTATTACCTGAAGTCTTGGCAGTCACCTCCCCAGTGGCTGCTGATAAAGTGTCTTGTCCTGAGCCCGTGTCTCAGTTTATAGTTGCAGTTTGCTGCAGCCTGACCTGTGGCAGATTTGCATCACTGCCTGTCTGATGCTGGAAAAAAAGAGATGAACCTGGTTACTAGGAGCTAAAATCCTGATCTGGAATGAGGCGTTTCTTGGCTTTGTCAGCACAAAGTCAGACAGTGAACAAACCCTGCAGCGCTCTGTTCTCATTGCTTGGCTGGTTCTTTCAAGCTGTGTGGTTCATACACTCTGAGTCACTCCTTGTCCACCAGCTTCCCTGCCTGGCTCTGGAATTGTTTGCTCTGTGTGCACTAATTATAACCAAGAAGGAGAAGGAGTGTATTGACATTACATCCTCCACACTCCCAGTCTCTAGTCCAAGAGGAAACCGTACACCTCCATCTGACCATGGGGAAAATGTTGAATCTTGGAGTTGATCTCCTTCAAAAGGGCATGAATCTCCCTTTTCTATCCCTTCTGCTCCTGTCTTTCACACACCAGGCAGTCGCTGCCACGGGCATTTTGGCTCTTTGTGACACAGGGAGGCTCTCGGGTGGGTTGGTGCAGAGGGGAAGTGGGAAACTGGAACATGTCGAGAGGGAAGTACAGAAATAGGAGGATGGCAGGCAGGTGTTCTGGGAGAAGGGCTCAAACTGCCGAGGCTGGAAGGAGAGAAACTCTGGGAACTGGCAGGACTTCAGTTCCAGTTCATTTCCACCGTCACAGGCACTGGTTAACAGTCCTTGTAATTATGCACCTTACGTCTGGCATCTGGAAATTTTGAAATTCATAGCTGACAGACACAACTTCTAGCTAATGCTTCCCTACCAGCTTTCATGGAAAGTTTTAAAGTCTCTTTCAGTGATCTGGCCCATATTTAGATTGTTTGCAGTTCTGGTTTCGGGCTCCGACACTGAATTCCCCTAATGCCACGTTTGAATAAAATTTGTCAACTGCAGTTTTATTTCCCTGTAACACTTGGTTACAGCTGAAGGGTTTCCCTAAGGACATGCACCAAATTCATATCAGTCATATCATAACTCCTTCATTCGAATCAATTAAGGGATTTTTCATCGAGTCTCTTGGTGTGACTTCCTCCTGTCTGCCTTTGCCAGCGACGTGTGCCAGGTCACCAGTAGCCCGTTGAAAAGACGTGGGTAGTTGAGAATCTCATTTGTGTGAGGAGAAAGGCAGGTCCTGGCAGTGTGCAGGGCTGAACGTATCATGTGCAGGAGAGAGAAGCTAATTGCTTCCTTATTGTCCCTGTTGCAGCCATCGGGAACGCGTACGCGGTGTTGAGCAACCCGGAGAAGAGGAAGCAGTATGACCAGTTTGGAGATGAGAAACTCAACCCTGCCCGGCATGGGCACAGCCACTCGGACTTCCACCGCGGGTTTGAGGCCGACATCTCCCCCGAGGACCTCTTCAACATGTTTTTTGGTGGTGGTTTTCCCTCTAGTAAGCACCTTAAACCTTAATCTCTTGAGCGGGACGCGGTGCTCTGGCAGAGTGACAGCGCAGTAGGGATTTATTTGGCCGTGCAGGGATTGCTGAGCTTGATGGGAGAGGGTTCTCCTTCAGGCACAACCTGAACACCTCGAGGTTTTTAAGTTGTTCAGGTGGGTACTTGGAGAACTCGGCATCCAGCAGGAAATACCATGAGAGCTGGACTTCTTCCCAGCTTCAGGTGTTTGTTTGCATGGCTGGCAGCATTAGCTGCTGTTGGCTTGGGTTGGATGTCAGAACAAAAAATTACTTGTTTTAAGGCTTGTTGTAAAAATAATCCTGTTTTGAGGAAGGCTTTTCTGCCTGGTGGTTTGAGAAGTTAAATCTCCTTATCAGAGCAAACCCTGGGCCTTGCTCCCGATCTCTATCTGCTCTGCCACGCAGCTGGAGCAGCTTCTGTGAGATCACTGGCCACTTCCTGCTCTCCCCCATGTCCCATAAAAGGAAAGTGTATTTCTACAGCACAATTTAAACCTCTTGAATTGAGAATGAAGTCTGCATCCTGTCTATCCACAATACTCATCATGGCTTGGACAGCAGAAAAGAACTGAGTGCCTGTTCCTTCACTTGCTCAGTTCCAGTCAGGAAGACACAGACTTCACATCAGGACAAGGGTCTTCTTTTGGAAGACTCCCTTGTCCTTGCTCTGGTCATATCTGACTGGCAGTGGAGACAAGGGTGATCTGACCTCTGTGGACCAACTTAAAAAAGAAATAATTTGGTTTCAGTGAAGAAGATTTGCTCTGGTAGCTCTCTCCTGTCCAGTGTGTGGGAATTAACACACCAGCACCAATGACAGGCGTCTGGAAGCCTTTTGCAGCATTGGTGTTCTGCCTGGCAGAGAGGCCAAGCTACTCCAGCAAAACCAGCACATTGCTATTTTGGCTCAGTCTTTTTTTCCCTCTCCTCACTGTCCCGAGGGAGTCCAGGGCCGCTCTCTCAGCCAGGCTCCCTCTGCAGCTGTAGCTTTGATATTTAAAACAAGACATGGATGAGCTTTGTTTTCAGGGTGGAAAAAATAGCAGAATTATTTCTGTTTGTAATTGGGTTTAATCTAAAGGCAGTTCAGTCAGAAGAGAGGAAGCCTGTACAAGGTACTCCCTCTTTGTAGCTGACCCTGCTTTGAGCAGGAGGTTGGACCTTCTGAGGTCACCACCAACCTGAATTTTCATATGATCCTGCAAAATCTGACAGAAATACCTCTGTGCCCGCTCTGTTTGCACTCAGTACACCTCAGGAATGCTCCTGTTTCGGCAAGTGCCATGGATCATGGCCACCTTTTGTGGTTCCCTCCTGGCCAGCCAGCACCACCCTCCACACTGTGACTCTGGTGTAACAGTTTTCTTTGCCTGCAGGTAACGTTCACGTGTACAGCAATGGCAGGATGAGATACACCTACCACCAGAGGCAGGACAGGAGGGAGCACCAGGGGGATGTAAGTGGACAACAAACCAGGGGCTGGGAGGGTAAAGGTGTTCCCAGCATGTGAACTGGGAGCTGTTTGCTGTGGCTGGCCTGGGAAATGGTGCTGCTCTCTGTGTGAGGAGAAAGCTGGAGTCAGGGTTTTCTGGGGATAGCCAGTTTTATTTTTAAAAAACAAACAAACAAGAACTTCCTGAATATTTCTTTCCCAAGCTTAAAGGGGAGATGTACACTGTTGGAACTGGAGAGGGCTCGGGAGGTGAGGGAGAGGGGGAATTGCTTTCATCCACCACTGAAAAGGGGAGAAGGCTTTCCATAAAACCAGTCCTGCTCTCTAGCAGAAACTCTAGAAAAAATATGGGCGTGAGGCTTCTGGAATTCCCTCACAAGGTTCCTCCTGCCAGTCCCCTCTGCCCTTTGTCACATCCAGTGGCTTTGGACCTCCAGAGTCACAGTGCCCAGTGTGCTGCTGGCTTCCCCCAGTTATTCTGAGTTGCTCCTGAGACAAATGCCTGTGAGAAGCAGGAGAGTGGAGGTTGTGTCCGAGCACTGGGAGGGAGGGAGAGCAGTGCTATGGGATCCTGGGGCACAGGGGTGTGGATTGGCACTGCACTGGATCCTGGGGCACAGGGGCGTGGATTGGCACTGCACTGCGTGTTTCTGTTCCCGCAGGGTGGCCTGGGGCTGTTTGTCCAGCTGATGCCCATCCTCATCCTGATCATTGTGTCTGCTCTCAGCCAGATGATGGTCTCCAGCCCACCCTACAGTCTGAGCCAGAGGCCGTCAGTACCTGTTCCCCCTGGATGGGGAGGGGTGTGGGAGGGCAGGGATCTCCACTCTCTGTTTTCCCTGTTTTCCTTTGGTTTGTTGCTTTCTCTCCTGACCCCTTGCTCTTGCTGCCAGCTGTCTCACACAGCAGTGTAGGCCTCCTGGTTCTCAAAACAGGTGTGAAATGGAAGGGGCAGAGAAGGTTTCTCACTTCCCTAAGGGAAGGGAGTTCTTTGACAGGGACCTTCTGCAGCCCTTACCCACAGCTGGCTGTGTCCTCCTGGAAAGGGACAGGCAAAATATTTTTGGGAGGCTCCAGCCTGGCACCAAGATCCCATATGGAGAACAAATTGAGGTGTAGAGTTAAATTGGGCAGTGAAAAGCAAAAGCCAGATCTGTTCTTCACGAAAGCCTCAGTTTATACCTAGTACAAAGCAGCAGAGGAAGAGAAGAAGGAATAAAAGGCACTCCTGTACAGTAAAAGACACTCCCAGAGAAATGCCCTGTTTTTGAACTCTTATCTTGCCATGAAATAGTGACCAGGCATTTACAATGCAAAAGTGAAACTGTTTCATTCTAGGTCCTGTGGAAATGCCCCATCTGCTCACTTGGCTGACAAATGGAATGAATCTTTCTTCTTAGTCACTTTGCAGTGACTGCAGAGAGTGGGAAAACAGGCCTGATTTCTGGCTGCTTGCATCATCCTTGACAAAAGCTTAGTGTATGTTCAGTGGAAGTTCCTTATGTGTATTTAAAGAGGGCAGACTTGGTTACAGCCCAGGGTTCCTGCTTGGTTTCACAGGTAGCAACGTTTGCCATTGATCACAGAATCCCAGAAGGGTTTGGGTTGGAAGGGACCTTAAAATTATATTGTTCCACCCCCGGCCATGGGCAGGGACACCTTCCACTAGACCAGGTTGCTCCAAGCCCCGTCCTTTGTGGTCTTGAACACTTCCAGGGATGGGGCATGATGTTAAATACTATAAAATCCAGCTTAGCTTTCGGATTCAGGGTAAAGACTGTGACATTAGTGCCTGGAACCAAAAGATGGAGTGGCTTTGGCACGGTTAAGGGTTGTTCTGAGAGGGTTGAGCTGTGATTTCCACACTTGGTATCAGGACTGTAAGATTAAGCATTACATATATAGCAGTTTGGATTGTACTGGTGAAGAGTTTGTGGGGTGAGAAGACACTCAGGGGAGGGCAGTTTTGAAGTTGGGCAGGGATTTGCTTCCAGCCTTGCCAGCTGCCAGAGGAAAGCCATCCCTGAGCCCCAGATGTTTCTCTGCTGTTCTGTTCCCTGTGCTGTCCCTGTCTCTGCAATTTCCAAGTCTGGATTTGGACAAGGGAAGGAAATGGGCTGATCCAGTCCTCCCTCCTGAGCGACCAGGGCAGTTCAGCTGGGACGAGGCGGTGCCGTGCCGGCAGGAGGAGCTGCTGGACCGCTCACAGCAGCTTGTACTGTGCTGAGAAGGGAAATGTTGTGCCTGAGCTCGGCGAGCAGGAGGCCAGAAGCGTCGAACCCGGTGATTTTAATGCCACTTCTCCGTAGTGAAGCTGTCACTGAGGAGGGCAGAGTCCTAAAGAACCATTTGTCACTCCGTGACCTTTGTAAATCTCTTCCAAAAAAGCAGCTTCCCGCTGGAAGAGCTGCCTGGCTGCAGCCTGACTGTGCCACCCTGCTCTTCAGTAACACCTCATGGAACTTACCCGACTTAATTACACGTCTGACTGCAGGTGGCAGGTTCCCTGTGCCCTTATTTTCATGCTTTACACCCAGACATGCTGCTGTAGCTCTGCCAGCTTCAGTCCTCCTCCCGTGAGGGCACACCCTGTATGTAGTTCATTTTACACAGGAGTATGAACTCTGGGGGAGCTCAGGGCTCTGCCTTCACAGCTCACATAGTGAGCTGGGTTCTCCCAGGCTGCACCTTTGCCTTGAAAAATCCCAGGGGCGCTTTTTGCTCCTGTTCAGGCCATCTGGTTACCCGCTGCTCATCCCCAAGAGCTGGACCTTGGTGAAACGTGCAGGAGTCTTTGAATCACTCCTGTAAACCCTGATAACAGACTGAAGGGTGACCCAGATGAGTTAATGTTTATACCTGGCTTAAGAATCAGGTTGGCTTTTAAATGCAGCAGCCAGCTGGTATTTATTATTATGGGGAACTTGGGGCACGTCTCCAGGTGGAGCCGTTCCTGACAAATGTGGCGTTTGGGCGCAGGTCCTGCGTTCCAGCTCCCACACGCCCCCGTGAAGATCTCTAGGTTTGCTGGAATGTCAGGGCTTTGTCTAAAATGCACCTCAACAGGGCCAGGGGAGGAAGAGATTTCCTTCTGGAAAGTGCTCTCTGTGCTGGTTGGTGCAGAGCAGGTCTAATTTTGTGAGCGGAGGAAATTGCGGAGAGATTTAATTAGTGCTGAAAATCCTGGAGAACACTTTATTTTAAGTGGGTTTAGGCCCTGGGCAATCTGCCTCGGAGCTATGTCTGTGTTCAGAGCTCTGCCTACCGAGCTGGAGGCCTGGCAGCTTCTCTCTCCCTGCGTTGGCAGTTCATTTCCACCAGAAATGCTTTTCCTTTCCCTGGGGCTGGTTGGGAGTGAGGGATGTTTCCAGCGGTTTGGAATCACGTCACACTGTGGGGGGCTTTGCTGTGCCCTTGGAGCAATTCCTACACTGTTCTGCTCTTCTCCCTGGACCAGGTCTGTGGGTCACATACACAGGAGATTCACAGAGCACTTGAAAGTGCCCTACTACGTCTCTGAGAACTTTGCAGACGAGTACACGGGCACGAACCTGAAGAACGTGGAGCGGAGCGTGGAGGACGACTACATAGCAAACCTCCGGAATAACTGCTGGAAAGAGAAGCAGCAGAGTGAGTGGGGGGGTCAGGAACGGAGGGTCTGTGCTAGAGCTGTACTTTAACGTGGTGCCAGCACATTTCCTGTGTTGTTGGCTTGGGTTTTTTTCAGTCTGTGACTTCATGACAGACCCGGTACGTGGGGTTTGCTTTGTTTTGGTTTGGTTCCTAATGCTGCTGTAGAACTGGTCAGACAAGAGCTGTGCCCCGGAGGGTCCCCTGCCCTGTCAGGATATCTCTGATTTCCAGTGGAGGGGGAAGGTAGAATCATAGAACCATTTAAGTTGGAAAAGGCCTCTGGGATGTGTGTAATATTTCGGTTTCCAAGGACTGTGTGGAAGAGTCTGCTGCCCGTGGTGTTGTGCATCCCAGCCCTGCTCCGAGGGCTGTGGGGGCATGTGGGACTGGGAGGGGTGGTGTGACAGACGACCCTGCCAACCATCCTGGCAGCACAGTGTGGCGAGGGCAGCGAGTCCCGGGGGCAGCCTGACTTCCCTGGCTGCCCATTCCCAGCATGGGATGGCCACAGCTGTGGCCAGGGTAGGATTCCAGTGCCTGGAGTGCCGGAGGGGCTGTTGGAGCCCCGGGTGGTGCCAAGCGAGACCGATGCCCCAGTGCTGGGGTAACCTTTGTGTGCCCCCTGGGACTGGGGGCCGGTCCCGCCGGGCTCCGGAGGCTTTCCCAGGATGGATGAGCTGTCAGCAGCTCTGACGCCCATCCTGTCCCACAGGGCCGTTTCCTCAGGCTCATCCTGTGTTTCACCTCGCCCTGTTCAACTGGAGGTGCCTCCCGTTCCCAGCAGAGCCCGTGGGGGGGCCGGGGCCGGGCGAGTGGGTCTCATCCCGGGCGGAATTCCTAACGCTGGGCTTTTCCCCGTGCAGAGGAAGGCTTGTTGTACCGGGCACGCTACTTCGGGGACTCGGACCTGTACCAGCGGGCACAGAAGATGGGCACCCCCAGCTGTAGCAGACTGTCAGACGTCCAGGCCTCCCTGCACGGATAGTCACGGCCCCGCCCGGCACCAGCACAAGTACGAGCTGGGGCTGCCCCGGGAGCCACCGTAGTGCTTTTAACACTTAAATCCCTGGCTGAGACACAGACCTCCACGAGTCTCCTCGGATGCACGCAGGGCGGGAAGCGCCCCCTCCACCGAGCCTTCACTCCTTAATCAAGATGCTGATTTGGTTCAGTTTGCATGTTGGCACCCTCGGCTCTCCCCGTCCCTGTTTTCTCTGGTGCTGTCAGTGCTGGGTCTCCGGGATCCCTGGGTGAGGCTGGGAGCACCTTGGCTGGTTGGCAGTTTGTTACCAGCCATGGCATCCAGCCTCCACATTTTAATGAACCCTTTTTTGGTTGCTTTGTTGCCTGTTTTACTGGAAAAGCTGTTATCCCTGGCACATGAATGTGATGACAGGGAACGGAGTCCCACCCAACAGATGTTCCTTCCCCCACAGTTGCCTTCCCCTGATGCTTAAGGAGAGCAAAGCAAATGGCCAGAATTCCCAGCAGGTTGTAGAAGTAACTTACTGGTTAAACTGGGAATCTAAATAAAAGCAGCTAAGGAGGGGGTAGGTCTGGAAGATTTAGGGGTTGGAGAGCTTGGATTAAGGAGAGCCCTGATGTGAGACCGGATGTGCTGCACTAAAATAATGAAAAAGAAATTGGCACAGGGTTTGGAGTCCTTTTTCTGCTTAAATTTCTGGGCTGATTTTGCCTACCAGGTGGTGTGGGCTGTGAAACCTGCAGGTCCCTCTATCCCAAAATTATTTGAAAACAGGGTTTCTGCAGAAAAAGATGAAGCTTGTACCAGGTGTAGTACGGACACCATTTCGACTCACAGGGACTCCTTGAGGACACTGGTCATTGAGCTGCTTGATTTGCAGTTTTGGGGTTTATTTTCCTTGGCATCTGAGAGTTTGGCCTTTAAAGCAAATCCTCTGGGCCACATTCAGCTTTTTTTTTTTTTGGTGTATTCTGGTTTTGGATCCATTCTTATCTTGGTCCTCCCGTTCTCTTGTTTGGATGACTTCGCCTCTCCTTTTGCCACACGCTGGTGTTAATTACCTGCTTTTCTTTAATTCCCTCCCTGCACCTCGTGGTCTGTAAAGAGCCTGGAAAAGCTGCTGCCTGTGCTGTGGGGTGGGGAAGGAAGGGGGAGTTGCCCGGAGACTGACACCGCTCCCGCTTTTGTTCCCAGACTCTTGAAATGCCTGAAGACTTTTGGTGAAGTGCACTGAGCCGAGGTGACAGACTTTACTATTTAAAAGAATCAAACCTTATCTTAAAAAAATGGAATTGAAGAATTAGCAACGCACAACTGCCCTCTTTCTTCTCTCTGCCTCTCTCCGCCGTTCGGGCAGCGACTGGGCCAGGAAACCCAGCTTGCCCGGCTTCCTCCTCCCCTTCCATCACCCCAGTGTGCTCTGGGATCCCACAGCCCCTGGAAGAGACACGTGGAGTGTAAAAGAACCCAAACTAACTGCAGAAGCCGTGAAGCAGAAGGAGACCCTTCGCTGCTGCCAACGGAGAGAGAAACCGGACGATTTGGTGACAAAAGAAAACTCTAAGAAAGAAAAAAGAAGAAGAAAACATAATCTATTTAGCATTAATTTATAGCTGTATATATGTTGTACTTTTAAACTATGCAGGGGTTGGATGATTAAATTATTTTGTTTTCTGCCCGTTCTGGTGCACAGGGGAGCGGGGAAGCCTCTTCCCGGGGTGTCCCGCTCCACATCACTTTCCTGCCCGGCACTAAAACAAGAATCACGTTGCAGTTGCTGTACTTGGCTTTCGGGAGGCCCAGCGGCGTCGCGGGGATCGGGATGTCCGTACCTGCCTTCCACAACGGGAACTGCAGAGCTGCAGGGGGTAGCAGAGCCGGGGGGAGCCGCCCGGAGCCGTGCCGTGGTTTTGCAGCGTCGGCAGAAGCCACGGCGGGTCAGCTGAGCGCCGGCGTCGGCGACGGGAAGGATTGTCCTGGATGGTTTGTGCTCGTCAGTCGTTGGGTTCATCTGTGCACGTAACTTCTTTTTTCGCCGAGTCTGCTGGAATTTTGCCTGGTAATCAGCGTGTGGCGCGCGCTCCGTGCGGAGAGGGCTTCCCACCAGGGCTTCCCACCAGGGCTTCCCACCAGGGCTTCCCGTCGGCCTCGCCCTTCGTCGGGGGTTTTGTGCGTGTCCCACGCTCGGGGCTCCTCGCCCACCCACCCACCGAGAGCAGCCGGGCCTTGGCTGCACCTCAGCACCACGTTTCCCTGAGGAGACCTGGAAAATACTGCAGATCCACAAGAAATGGAGTGTGGTGTTGCTTCTGAAAGCGGTTCTGCTGGGGGGATCAGGGCAGCCCTGGGCTCTGTGGTGTGTCTCGCTCCGTCACCGCCAGGCAGCACCGGCGGGAGGGTGCCCGAGGTCGGGAGCCACCCCTTGGAAGCAAAGCTGGCACGAGCAGAGCCGCCTCCCATGGGATAAACTGGATGATTTTAATTTTGCTCTGCTGCTCTGCAGTTCCATCTGTGTCTAAAGACATTTCCAGTGAGAACTGTCCCCCCGGCACACTCGGGGAGTGAATCAGAAGCTCGGCGGCTCCCGGGTGGGCTGGCAGAGGTGGTTTTATCCCGCTGTCCGTAGGAAGCCACTCGCTCTGTCTTCAGCTGTTATTTTATTTTGTGAAATCTCACCCTCCCACTGGCCACAAGCCCTGTTACCCCACAGCCAGCCGTGGCTTGGACCTGATTTTAAGGGGGTTTTGATTTTAATCCTTTCATTTTTTTTTTTTTTAAATGACTCTTCCACCTTCAGAAGGAAGTGGGTGGAAGTTCAGCATTTGGAAATGGCGCTTGATGGAGGCACAGGGATGATGGGGACGGGGTTGAACGGAAATCCCGCTCGCGGAAGGAGCTGGATGTGTTGCCCAAGGGCATTCCCTGCCCGGAGCCTGCCCGCCAGAACCTTTGGATCGTTCTTTTTTCCAGTAGATACTCACGGATCATAAGGAGCGAGAAGGCATCGATCCCAGTGGATGCTCACAGAGGCTGTATCTCTCGATTTAGAATTAATTATACAATTGTACATCTATAAATAAATGTTTATAATGTGAAAGGCTCTGGCTGTGTTGGTGTCCTGCACATCCTTGCTCCAGCTCCTCGCTGTATTCACACAGGCAGGCGGTGGATGGAATTTGGGGTCATTGCCATCCCGGGAAACCCCTGTGCTGGGGGGGCTTCCCCTTCCCTGGGATGGGAGAGGGATGGAGAAGAGGTGGTGCCCCTGTGGGTCCTGGCAAGGTGACAGCAAATGCCCAGCAGGACATCTTTGCATCAGACTGGTTCCACTGGGATGTTCCCAGGAGGGCACCTCACCTTCCTGCCCTCCCATTAGCCAGCCCCCTGCATCCTCTGGCCACGCTCCTTTGGGGAATGCTTTATTCTCATCCCAGGATGCCACTGGCCTGGCAGCACCATCCCAGCATTTGAAGGTGCCCTTTGGACGTGGTCCCCATCAGGGTGGGCAGGAAGGCTCGAGCTGCTTTTGTCCTGGCTGGAAAGGCTGGCTTGGATGTGCATCCTGACAGCAGCAACTTGGAAACTGCAGTTGGATTTGGGATCTGTGCTCCCAAATGGGTCTCTTTTCCCCACATCCCTGGGGCAGTGCAAGGCTGGACCCCACGGCATCCCCGTCCCCCAAGGGCTGGAGGTTTTGGGATGGGAACTTCCCCCTTTTCCCTTTTTTTCCCCTTCTCTCAGAGGCCAAGGGTCATGTCCCTTCTGTTTCCCCTCAGTGCCACATTCCCAGCAGTGGTGAGTCAGCCCCTGGGGAGTCTGGCATGGCTGCAACCAGGCACGTTCATGGCCCAGTTTTTGGGGTGGTTTTGCTACACATTGGGTCCAGAGCAATGGGAGACGCTCTGAATTTCAGTGTGTGTTGGTCCCTGCTCACCTGCAGGTGATTTGGGCTGCCCATCAGCTCATTAGCCCAAGCTTTTAATTGGAGCAGCTGCCAAAGACCAGGAGGCAACAAAGGCAGGTACTCTGGGAGTGTCCTCTGGCAGGCAGGTAGGGAGCAAACTCCACTTCTCACTGTCATTTCTGGTAGCAAAACATGAGGGTTTAGTGTTACTGTGGGATTTAAATCCTCATTTGCCTTACTGCTGCTTGTGTCCCCAAAATCTCCCTTTTCCCCCCACTGTGCTGGCACCTGGGATCCCCAGGCTGATGTTGGTGCCACAAATAGCTCCGTTGATGCCTCCTCAGTCCCAAAATATCCCTTTGCCTACCCCCCTGCCATGGGAGACGCTTAATCCAGCCTGGCTGGAAGCTCCTGGCACCTTGCAGAGAGCTGCCAAACTCCAGGGACCTTGCTACACCCCCAAATTTCCCATGGAAAGGCCGCTTTGCTATAAATAAGAGCAAAGCTTCACCTTCACAGCTGGGCCTGAGACCACAGGGTGTTTTCTGAACAGAGGGTTTTGCTGGGCACCCCCCAGCAAAGAGGCTGTCCCATTGCTCTGTGTTCACTTTTGGGAGTTTTGGTGGATTTTACTGTTTTCTTGGCATGATAATTTTAAAAAACAGGATGTGGAGTCCCCTGTCTTCCCTTGGAGTGGCTGGTAGGGGACAAGTGGGGGTCACGCTGCTGCTGGAAGCACAGGAGGCACAGGGCCACCCCCCTCCATGTGCTTAGGAGCTTGATATTTAAAAATACATGTATTTATGGGCTATATTTATCACTCCAAGTCTCAGTGTGCCTCAGCAGGGGATGACTGCACCGCCCGGTCACCGCGCCGTAAATCATCCTGGGAGCAACGCACTGTGCTGGCAGAGCCAAAACCTGCTCCTCTCACGGTTTTGCCAAAAAAACTTGGGGTTTGGAGTTCCTTTTCCACCCCCCCACCAGGGATGGATTTGTGCTGGATGATCCCACGGGGTGCTGCCTGACCCCGGCAGGGGGATGCCCCTCATGTGAGGGGGGGTGCTCTGGCACGTGACCCTTTGAGAAATGTTCCAAAGCCCCCCTTTGCACAGTGTGGGTGTGCAAGGGTCTGTTTCCAGCTGTGCCACCCTGACTGCTCCTAGGTGGTATTTACACCAGCGAGAAACGCTCCAGTTGTGGGTTGTCCGTGTCAAACCCAAGGTTTTTTTCCGTGAAAAGTCACTGTTTGTCCACAGGGGGATAAAACAAAACAAAAAAAATCCAACAACTCAAACCTGAGCCAGAACAAACTTGTATGTAAATGGAAATGGTGTTTCAGGCTGGTTCTATCCCCTCACACCTTCCTAGGGGAGGGCTCCTCGCTTGCCAAGTGACTTAATCACCCTTGAGTGAAAGCCTTTTCCCCCCGAGGCCTCTAATTGCAGGTTTGTGTAATTGGTCTCAGCTTGGCAGTGGGTTGGGGTTGGGGTATGCTCACTCCTGGCAGGTGTGACCCTCCCCAGCCTCCCTCACTCACAATTTTAGCCAGTTCTCCTGGTTTTCGGCCCAGATTTCCCCCCATAGGTCCCAGGGGAGGAGCAGCAGCTCCTGGCTGGGATGCTGGGGTGCTCCTCCCCAGGCATGAGCAGGCACTGGGCTGGCTCAGGGCCCTGACTCAGCCCCCCTGAGTCACAGCCCCATGGCTGCAATTAGGAGTGGGCGCACCGGGATTCCCCACCATTCCCAAAACCTCCAGCTCCCACCACAGGGGCTGCCCTGCCAGGGAAAGCCTTCCCGAGGGTGCCAGCGGGGATTTCAGAGCAGTGGTTGCATCATCCCCTCCCCGGACCAGACTGACAACAGGGAGACGGCGGGTTATCAATCAAGACAACTTTTATTAGAAAAGTAAAAAACCACCCGACACGATTTGCATAGGAATTGTCGCACTTGAACATCAAGTGTATGAGTGTAAACTGTAACCAATGAAGCGCCACACGGTGTCGGGGCCAGGGGTCCTGCCCTCCAGCCCCGCGGCACCTCACGTGCCCCTCTCCCACCATCTCGTGATCAAAGACACGGCGCAATTCCAGAGCCCCCTCCCGCCCGGCTGCCGGCGGAGGGGGTTTGTCTTTGATCCAGACCCACGGCTCAGCCATCACTCACTCCCCCCCCCGCCCCCTGAAGCCCCATTGATTACAATCCTCGTTACAAAAGAAGAGCCCCATGATTGATCAGCCATCGGGAGACCGGCCGCCCCCCCCAGCAGCCCCGCTGCCGCCTCCGGGAGCATCCCGGGATCATCCCACAATCATCGACAGCGCGAAGCGACCTCCGCCTGGGTCCCGGTCCGCTCCACGGCAGGGATGTCCCGGCATAGGCAGGGCCCCCACGGGGACCTCCACCTGCCCAAACTACTTCCACCTACAGCCCTACTCCAGCCTAACCTAAACTACAGCGGCTGCCCCGAGCCGCCGCCACGCTCCGACCGGCTCTTCCAAAGCACTCGGGAAGCGGGCCCGGCCCATCAGCACTCCTCGATGAGCAGCTGCTCGGAGCTGTACAGCTTCTTCTTGATCACCCTGAAGCCCGTGCTCAGCTTCAGCGGCGCGAAGGCCGGCCCCGAGGCGAAGAGTCCCTGGATCTTGGGCCAGAGGCGGGAGTCCAGCCGGAGCACCAGGGTGAGCTGGAAAGTGGGCACCACGGCGGGGTCCACGGCGATGTGCCCCACGTCGTGGCAGGCCTTGCCGTGCTCCACGCACAGGTCGAGGAGGGCCCCGCGCAGCCCGCAGGGTTCGCTGCGCGCCAGGCGCTGCAGCTCCGCCCGCACCTGCGCCAGGAGCTGCGCCGGCATCAGGAGCCGGGAACAGCGCTTGGAGCCCAGCGGGGCCCGGCCCAGCGTGGCCTGCACCACGTCCATCAGGTTAGAGCACAGCAGCTCGTCCTCGGGGTCGTGCAGCAGCTCCAGGTCCAGGTCCGGCAGCGACACCCCGTCGGCGTACTCGGCATCTGCGGGAGGCACGGAGGCAGGTCAGCCCGGGGCAACACCGACCTCGGGGGCTCGGGATGGAACACGCGTGGGCTGGGGGAAACACCGATCCCAGGGGCTTGGGGGCGCAACAGGGTCTCGGCATAGCACCGCCACCCCCCTTAGGGACACTCAGTGATTCCCCCCCCCGTTCCTCGGAGAAACCCCAGGGAAGGGAGCCCACACTCACCTCCCTCCGAGCCAGAGGCGCTGCCCAGCGACTCGCAGTCGGAGGTCTCCAGGCGGCCCCGCTCGCCGCCCGCCAGGCGCTCCCACAGCCCAGGCATGGATACGGCTCTGGATTTGGATACAGACGTCACCGACCTCGTCCCGGCTCTGCCGCCGCTCTGCCCGCACTGTCCGCGCCCGCCCCTTATATAGGGGCGGTGCGAGTGTCCCCGCCCCCCGCCCCGCGCTCGCCAATGGGAGCGCGGGGCACGTCCGCCGCGTCTCTCCTGCCCGGTGACAGCGGGAGGCCACGCCCTCTCTCACCCTCAGCCACGCCCCCTCCGTGCCAGGCCACGCCCCCTCCCCGGGCGGCCCCGGGCGCTGCAAACGGGACCCGCGGTTGCATCAGGGGGTCGGGCGGGTCCGCAGGGCCCCCCCGTGCCCCGCACCCCCCAGGGCCCGGGCACCGCCCCCGGGCACCCCCTCAGCGCCCAGACTCAGTTTCCATGAGTTTTCCAGGTGGTGTTTGCGTGGTGCCACCGGCGCGGGCGGATCCTGCTGCCCCGGCATGGGATGGGGCTGAGCCCCCCTGCCCTGAAGCGGGAGTGATCCCGGTGTCCCATTAGCTGGCGTTGTCCTGGTTTCTTAAGGGAATAAGGGATGTTGGAATGAGACAGGGTTGAAGATCGAGGGGGGCGAGGGCAGGGCATGGCCGGGCTGGGATGGGCTTTTGCTCAGTGCCAGGCTGGGGGGAATCCCCATCTTCCTTCCCTCATGGCTCCTAAAACCGGGACGAGACCCCGCCGTCCTGCAAGCCCTCCACCCTGCGAGTGTGTCCCCCCACCCCAGGTCCGTGCGTGCCATCCCCGCGTACGTGACCTTCCCAAAGCCAGACCCCGAGGAGCTCAGGCAGCCGAACTGGCGATAAAGGGCTTTGTTTGTCCTCCCGCTGCGCTGCCCGCGGCTTTATCGGAGGGGCTGAGCACACTCTGCAGCCACCCCAGGACCTATCTTGGGTCCTGTCCTTCCCGAGCCGAGATTGATAACAGCCCGGCAGTAAACACAGTGCGGAGCAGAAAGTGCCCGGCGGCGAGGGGGACAGGACCCCCTCTGTGGTGACCCCCCGCCCAAAGGGTGCGGGGCAGCGGGTGCTGGGGGGTCTGGGCACCCCACCAGCAGCTGCTTTTTAGGGCTCAAAGCTTGAATCCATCGCCCTTTTGGGAGTGGGAGTCCAAGCGGGGGGAGTGGGGAGCATCCCAGGGAGCAGAGGGGCTGTGTGGAGAGCTGGGAACAAGTCCAGGCTCCCGCCTGCAGCTTGCAGAGCCACTGCTCGGCTTTTTGGAATAAAAGATGAGCAACCCCCAACCCCAGCTGTTAGAAATACACCCAGATATTTGCACGCTCACGCTCAGAAACGGCTGGATGGTGCTTAGGATCCTGTTTTTCACAAAATGTACCTCGTGGGTTTATTTGTCCCCACAACCACTAAGTCGGTACAAATGTTGGCTGGGTGAGGCTGAAAATAGATGAGGAACTGCTGGTTTTGGGGTCAAAACAGGGGGGAAACGGCAAATAAACAAAAAAGAGGTAAAGGACCAGAGGGAAGACGCCTTGCTAAAAATAAGCTGGAATTCTGGAGCCAAGCATAAATATTTTTCTTTCTTTGCCATAGCATCTCCCGGTAGGCAGGGGAGCAGGCAGCTCTGGTGTGATGGCAAGTTTTAAAGGGAAATGTAATTTTTAATCCCTGCAATCAAATAATCCCAACATAAGTCCATGCACTTCGGCAGGGAAGGGAGAAGGATGTGGGGCTGGCAGCTCCTTCTCCTCCCCAAAAGAGGCTGAGATCCAGGCTGCTCCACCGCAGCCGAGCCTCGAGGAATGGTTTTGGGCTGGAAAGCGAAGTTTAGTTAGCTACAGTGTAGCTAATCCCTGAGCTTCCCCTCCCCAGGTCCTGCTGCTGGCACAAACCCAGCGCGGTTTTTGTGGAGGAGCAGTGTGTCTTCCCCCTGACCTGCTGGCCTTTCTGGGAGAACAGAGAGGGATCTAAACTTTCTGGACAGGCTGTTCCCAGGCGGCTGTGCCTTGTGGGATGCCCTTCCGTGTTGAGATTTGCTGGATCACTCCGAGTTCCAGCGTGGCTGGCTTTGCAAAGGGTTAAGCAGGAGCTGGGGGGAGCGGCTGGCACTGGGGAGGGTCCTCGGCTGGGCCCCTGCCCGGGATGTGCTGAGCTCAGCGGTTTTGCGGGGCCGCAGGGGGAGGGGGCTGGAGAGGAGGAGGAGGAGGAAGGGAGGAGATGTATCGAGGGGCTCAGCGAGTGCCTCGGTGCACGTCGGGTACAAACCGTGCCCCATGTGTGGTGGGGGGGGAATTCCTGCCCCACAAGGTGCTGCCGCTACCTGCTGTGTAGTTGTTTGTTCCCAGCAGCCCCGTGGCCCAAAAAGCTGCTTTTAGGTAGATTTGCACATTATTTTGTCCCTCGGGGCTGGCGCAGAGGCCACTGTGATCCTCCGTGTCCAAGCATTCCCGTGGGGAATGTAACAGAGGGGCTGAGGCTGCCGGTTTTGGGGTGTCCCCTCAGTGCCTGCTGGGTGGGTGTCCTTCGCACCCTCTCTGGCCCCGTCCCCTCTCGCAGGGTCCCCGATTGTGGCAGGGGGTGGCGGGCACACGAGGGGTGACCCCGTGCATCCTCTGTGCCCGTGGCCAGGTCTGACAGGTGAGCTGTGGCTGCGTGGGACGCGGCGGCAGGTCCCGGCGTGCCGCCGGCCGGGCAGGTCCCTGCCACAGCCGAACCTCCCGGGCCCGTCTCTCGCCCCCGGGACAAGCAGCTGCAGGAGCCGGGCGGAGAGGAACAAGGAACGTGCATCCAGGAGGGCGGTGGACAGGTTTTTGGCAGCTGAGACGCCGAGTTGGCACCGCAGATTTGCGGGGGGGGGGGGGGGGGCCTCTGAAACTCATCTCCCCTTGGGTGCTTCTGGGGGAGAAGATGGGAGATGGTGTTTCGGGGGTGCTGCCCCACTCTGCTGCACCCTGGATGCTGGAGGGGCCTTCCCGGGCGGGCTCCTTGCCCGGGCAGCAGGGCGAGCGCGTGCCTTGGCGCCGTGGCCGGCGCTGGGGCCGTGGCCAGCAGTGCGAGGAGCCGGGGAGGGGAGGTGTGAGCGGGGCCGGTACATAACGTTCTGCCTCGAGCACCCACAGGAAAACCAACCAGCAGCCCTGAACGAGGCTCTTTGTTCGGCTTTTTTTTTTTTTTTTTATTCTCCCTCCCCTCCCCTGCAACAACTTTTTCTGGCAGCTGACGGGGTCCCTTTCCCCCCCCGCACTCCGTGCTCAGCTGCGGCCTCCGAACAGCCCCTGAGAGCCCCGGGGTGAGGGGGCAACCGGGCTCCCAAGCCTCAAGGAGGGATATTTACCGCCGGCGCTGCCCCACTGATCTGCAAAGCAGGAAATAGGCTGGGGAGTTTCCAGCTGCCAGGGAAAAGCTGGGTTTGGAGGAGGGGGAGAGCGGAGGGGTTTTGCCAGTGCGATGCCTCCAGCTCTCCCTGCCTTACATAAAGTGTTTACTGAGCGGGCGGAGGGAACGGCCAACAACATGTTTGTGCATTCGTAGTACTGTACAGGGTGAACTTTTCACTTCCTCTCAATAGCTCTCACACATGTGTCTATTTTGGTACTGGGCACACATACAAACACACCATGTACAGCACGGAGCCGGGGACGTTCCCTGCTCCTGCTCTGTCCCAGCACAAAGAGCGGCTGGAAAACAAGGAACGGGAGGAGGGCGAGGGGGATAAATCTCAGCCCCGCCGTGTTTTGGATGTGTACGGGGAGGTCTGGGCACTGCCTGGGCGCTGCATCCCGTGGGCAGCGCCGCAGGCACCGAGCCCCCAGCGTTCCCAGAGGGCTGGCGGAGTGGAAAAGTTTCCCAAGTCGAGTAGTGGAAAGGAAAGGCTCTTTCTGGGTCTGATTACGCCGGGTTCAGCAAGTGGGGGGTTTGGGGATCTGCTGTTCCGTTCCCAAACCCCACGGTGATGCGGGGCGGGTATTTTTGGCAGGTTTGGCCAAGGTACATTTAGGTGGCTGGAGTAAGCAGGATTAAAAATAGATAATACCAAACAAAAAAGCTGATGATTGAAACGCTCCCTTCTTTCCCAAGCGAGCCCATCTGGGATGGAGTTTTGATCCCGCCTGCCGTCACGTTTAAAGCGATCCTGGCCACGGACCCGCTGACTGTGCAGGAGGCCCCCGCAGAGCAGGGGCTGGCAGCCCTCCAAGGCTGGGGAGGAGGTTTTCCGGGCTGGGGCCGGGGCCGGGACACGTCTCAGCTGAGCCGCAGCCTTACGTGGGAACGCCCCTACACCGCTCCAGGAACCTCGCCGTGAATTTCCACGGAGCTGGAGTTCGGGCTTCACCAGCAGTGTGGGGCTCTGGATCACCCAAATCTCTGACACTGGAACTGATTTATTAACAGCAACAAACACAGAAGGTGGCTGTGTACTTTCCCCCCTTAGTTTTGGCTCACTGCTGGTGATCCAGCTAAAATGGGGAGAGTTTCCAATTAATCTGTTTCAATCCAGATGTGACTGGGCTGAAATAGTGAGTAAAAAATACAATCATCTAGCAAACAAGATGTTGAAAATGGAAGACTTAGGCATCTGGAGCAGTAAATCATATAATTGCTTGCATACGGTGCTGCTCCTACCCCCTGCTGGCCAGCAGAGCCGTGGGGTGAAGGCTCTCATCCATGGAAAATCATGTTGAAATGGTTATGCCAGAACATGGAAACTCAGTTCCCTCCAGGAACAGAAGTGAAGTACAACCGAAAAACAAGATGATTAAAATGGATGGATTTAAATAAGGGGTTTCTGCCGCTGGCAGAGCTAAACCAAGATTAAAATCTGATTTAAATCAATCCACTTTTGAGCGTGAGTTCCTCTCAAACTGAACTTCACTTGACCATCACGACAGCCGAGCTGCCTCCGAGCTTCATTAAACCTCGCCCACCTCCTGAACAGCTGACTGTTTCCCTCATCAGACCCTCCCCCATCAGATAAACTGTTTTGAAGAGAGAATTATTTTATTGTCACAGAGAAATTTAATACAAACGAAGAGGAAAAAGTTTCAGAGTGTTAAAGAAAGAGCAGTGTCCTTCCTTACCAGCACTACTAGAGAAAGGGTGATGGAGAGGGAACAGCTTCCGAGGCACCGCGTGGCCCCTCACCCGACCTGGGCCAGTTCCTGCCGTGTCCATCCCCCAGAACAAGGGCTGGGGCTGAGGAGTGTTTTTGGCAGGGTGTCATTTGCTGCAGAGCACAGACAGGGGTTTCCCCAGTCACCCAGTGCTTCGGCCGCGCGCCAGCGCAGGGCCAGGCCGAGTTACTGGGTCGCCCTCCCCGCGGCCACACTGTCAGTGTGCCCTCCTCTGTCAATAATACAGTGACTCTCGGAGAGCTGCACAGCTGATCCTGCCTTCTAAGTTACAGAGACTGAGCCCTGCCAGCCTGCCAGAGTGAGGACTTACAGAATCCAGTCATTTCTGTTTATTGGCAGCTTTACGGGGATCCCCGCTCCCAGAAAGACGCGAAGCCCCGCCGTGCCGATGCAGCTGTCAGCATCTGATGAACGGGGGGGGTTTGGAAGCCAGGCCAGGGAATGCTTTTCTTCTGCTCCCTGACAGCAGCGATCCAGACACGCTCAGCCCGAGGAAGGAGTGAATCCCAGGAGCTGCTCTATTGGCTTGTACCTCCACTCATCTGCCTCCAGCTCCTCCACCAGACCGGCTAGTTTTTCCATCCTTGCCACTTGTTGATCTGCGAGTTCAAAGGTAACTGTGGTTTGCAATGGCAGCGCAATTAAACCTTTCAATTAGATGCAAATTCCCAGCTGTCAGTGGGGAGCAGGGTGGAATAAAACCCACCGAGCCCCTTTGAATCCAAACCCACCCTGTGCAAACGGCAAGGAGAAAGCAGGGACAGGCTTTTCTGCCCCGGTGTGTATTTACCCATCCCTGCCCGTGCCGTGTACATTCAAGTCCTAACAGGGAAACACAAGGCCCATTAGTGTACAGGGGTGAAAACAGGATGGAGCTCATTTCTTTAGCATAAATATTTATAGTGCAGAAGAACAGAGAAGTTCAGAGGGCTTGGTCAGCCCACGGGAGAGCTGGGTGCAGCACAAAGAACTGCTGGCTTTAATGAAGGTCCTCGGAGGAGGACCTGGATGAGTGTGGCAGAAAGGCTCTGCAATCAGAGCCTGCTAACGAGATGAAGGTCTGTCCCTGGGGATCCCCAAGACAACACGTTCCTCTTAGGTTTATCTATAACTGATTTGTGTGCTGGGTACATGGGCTCCATTTTCAGCTAAGTTATCTGCAGTGGTGCAGAGATGGGAATTATCTCTTCTCCTGGCTCTGCTGGAAGTGTAACAGCGTGCTGTAAACTCACTGCAGCCTCTTGGAGAGACGGCCCAGGACTAGAGAGAGGTGTAACATAAACTGTGCATGATTTATGCTGACTGCAGCACTGGGTGCTTTGGAGAGGGACTCTTCTCACTCCACCTCCTGCAACAGAGTGCTTTTGGGAACTGTCAAACAAACAAGCCAAAAAATGATGACCTTGATCTTTTCCTTTAAGCCCTACACCTTTCTTACAAAGAGAAAACAGGGAGGTGCTCTGCAAACCAGTTTCCAAGTCTGGTCTTTGTCGGGGTGCCAGGCTGTGCAGCAGCCCCCGGTAGCTACAGCCACAACAGAGCTGTGGAAACGAGGGCTCAGAAGTTCAGCTTGGCTTTTTGGTTCATAAAGAGAGGATCACAGCCTCACAAGCTGCTGCACGCCCTCAGACCACCTCCTGACAACCGGAGGAGGACAGGAAACCTCCACGGTCTGAGACAACAGGTGGAAGTACCATTTGAACTGACAAGAGGTGGGGACAGAAAGGATGTGACCCTGCAGCAGCAGGCAGGATCTGGTGCTGGGCTCTGCTCTGAGAACCGAAGCTGGGTGCAATCAAGCCCATCCTTTGGTTACAGGGCGAAGGGCCCAGGAGGGAAACAGAGGTTCAAAGAAGACGTAAGGCTCTTCCCTGGGGAGGCAGGGAGTGGAGTCAGCCCTGTCACACCACGCCACGCCACGCCAGGCACCTCCTGAGCACCTCTGGGAACCTCGCTTGACCCCGCCGGTGCCACGAGGGCTCAGCTGAGAAACAAAGGTGGAATGGAGCGTCTCTTTGCCCCAGGCCAGAGAGACAGTCAGTGCTGGGCTGAGAGATCAGAGCGTGGGCGTTTCCTGCCCATAACCTCCTCCTCCGGCCTCACCTCGGCCACGGACAAACAAGCTTCGGGAGGCACGGCCTGTTCCCACCCAGGCTCTGTGGGCTCCCGGCGCTTTGCATAGGGCTTGCAAAAGGACTCGGGGGGTGGCCTGACTTAGCGTTTGTGGTGCTTTTTTGTGGTTGGCACCCGAGAGCAGGTCAGGCTTCTCCCCTGCCCCCTTCCCCGCCGCAGCAGACGGTGCTTACCGTGCTTCACCTGCTTCAGTGTCGACGCCACCTGGAAGCTGAAGACAGACTCACAGAGGAATCTCTCGGAGCCATCTGTAAGCAGGAAGAAGAGGTGGCTGAACCCCAGAGTTAAGGCTGAGCAGCGTTCACTGAGTGCTGCCGACCTTCTATTTTCACGTTGGAGGTGTGGGTTTCCCCCCTGCCTCGCCAGCCCCTGCGACCCTGCACAGGGCTCTGGCTGGTTCCTGGTGCCACTTGGGGGACATCCCGACTGGAATTCTGCTACATCCCCTCTGACAAGCAATTTTAGTCCATTTTTAAATAGAAGGTAAGCTAAGGAGAAGCCAGGTAATGTCATGGCAGTTTTGGATTCCCTCAGGTCTCAGACGCTTGTGTCCTTAGAATGCTTTAGGATCTCTCACAGGCTCAGACCATAACCCTGCATAAAGAATTTCAAATAATGTGTATCTTGCCATCCAAGTCAGTAATTTATCACACAAGTGACTCAGAAATAAAGCAATCTGGAAAAACACAGCTAACTGTGTGCCAAGTACTGACACAGTTTATACTGCTTCCTTCTAAAAAAACCCAAAATACCTAAAGGTCTATTTAAAAACAAGTGAGATAGTTAAAGTAACAACAGAAATCAGTCAGTCAGTGGGGATTTTTGAAGAGGAAACTGGTATGCAGCTCCCCCACTGGACCTGCCTGATGAAAGAATGGGTGTATCACCTTTTGTGTCAGAAATTAAAAAGCAAACCTAAAGCTTCCTGAAACAGGGACAGTGTTTGGTTGTTGCTGCCACCCAGAGCAGATGAACTGCTGTGTTCCTGGTAAAGAGGTCAGCCCAAAGCACAATCAATTAAAAGCCCTGTGCCATAATGACATGGAGAGAAGCAATTTCAAAGACTAAGGGTAGAGCAAAACTCTGGAAAAATCTAATCCAAAGCTGAACCACAGGGAAGAGCTGGAGATTTGCTGTGCTCAGAGCACCTCTTGCAAGAGCTGAAATGCTGTGTTGGTGCTGCCCCAAACATATCCTTCCCTTTCCAGGGAGCAGGACCAGGGCAGGGATTGTTCCCCTGTGCTGGGCACAGCTGAGGTCCCTCGAGGGCTGGGCCCAGTTCTAGGCCCTCAATAGGAGAGACCCGGAGGGGCTGGAGCGTGTGCAGGGAAGGGAACGGAGCTGGGGAAGGGGCTGGAGCAGCAGGAGCGGCTGAGGGAGCTGGGGGGGCTCAGCCTGGAGAAAAGGAGGCTCAGGGGGGACCTTCTGGCTCCGCAAGTCCCTGACAGGAGGGGGGAGCCGGGGGGGGTCGGGCTCTGCTCCCAGGGAACAGGGACAGGACAAGGGGAAACAGCCTCCAGCTGTGCCAGGGGAGGCTCAGGTTGGACATCAGGAGGAATTTCTTGCTGGAAAGGGTGGTCAGGCCTTGGCAGGGGCTGCCCAGGGGGGTGGTGGAGTCCCCATCCCTGGAGGTGTCCAAGGAATGACTGGACACGGCACTCAGTGCTCCAGTCTAGTTGTAAGGTGGTGATCAGGCACAGGTTGAACTCCATGATGTTGGAGGCTTTTTCCAGCCTTACAGTTCTGTTCTCTCCTCTGACTCCCTGTCTGTCCTGCCGAGTGGCTGTCGGGAGGAACAGCTGCCTGTCTATTTGGTAACATGAAGTGCTTCATTACTTTAATTTGTTTTGAGGGCTCGTTAAGTTCTATGAGCAAGCCTTTAGTCATAATTACTTCAATAGCCTGGCATATGGGCTCTAATGTGTAATAAAAACAGCCCTTCAACGGCACAGCCATCAGCTCCCAGCTGCCCTGCGCTGCCACGGGGACACCCCAGGCTCAGTCCCAGCCATCCCACTGGATTTCAGGTTCACACAGACAAGTGCTCCATGGTGACATGGGAAGTTCAAGGGGAACAGACAGACAGACAGACCCTGGTTTAACCCTGTCATCTGGAGAACCTGCCCTTCCTCCCTCACCCAGAGCAGCTGCGGCATGCCCAGCTCCTCCTTCCACAATCCCGATGGAGGGAAGGGCTCAGGCACCCAGACACAAGCTGGCAGGGATACAAGCTGCCTCCTGTACTAGCCCAGTCAAATCCAACCCAAACCAAGAAAAATACTCCTGCCTCAGCTATCCTCACAGTAATCCCTGCCTGACATCAAAGGATTAGCTAACAATGAGCAATTAACACCGTCATGTTCCCTTTCAGTAGATCCCCTCCTCGTCTGAAGTGTTGTCATGGAGCTAAAAACCAGGTGACTGCCAGAAAAATCATTTCCTCACGAACAACTGGTGGGAAAGGCGGGGCTGCTCGGGACCCTGGTGCTTCCTTTCTCCCTTCAGCTTTTGCCAGCTGAAGTCCAAAAAGGCAGCAGGGTGCCAAGCTCAACAAGTTGGAGGAGGAGAAGGGCAGGAGCAATCACCTTCCAGCATCTCCCCAGCTCCTTTGGGGTAAGTGAAGAGGGCTTTCCGGGGCGGTGCCAGGTCCGAAACGCTGAACCCCGACCCTGTCACGGAGCTGCCGCTGACTCCGCCAGCCGAAGAGGAGGAGGAGGAGGCTGCCATCTCACCCCGTCCCAGCCTGGAAGAACAAAGAGGCAGCAGAGCCGAGTAAGAGACGCGGCGTCTCGGAGTTTCCCCGGGCGCAGAGCCAGCGGCTCTGAGGTCGGATGAGGGTGGTGAGGGGCAGGAAGGTGCCGCCTCCGCTGCCTCAGAGCTTCAAGGCTGCCCTGTGTGCGTGGGAGAGCTGCATGCACCCCACTGCCTGTGGGGACGGGCACAGAGAGACCCCAAAACTGTGGGTAACCCCCGCTCCGACCCCTCAGACAAGGGACCCTGGGAACTCGTCCAGATGATCATCCAGATGATGCACGAAAATAACCTGAATTCATTGGCCTTTAGCTGCCCTGGCCCTTGTCCTACTCCCCAGGGTCATAAAAAGGCTTTTTTTTTTCCTTTTTTTTTTTTTTCCTTGTTTCCAGGAGCACAAACACAGAAAAAGTCCTGCTGCCTCATAAAACCTGGAAGGCTGCAGGACTGCCAGTTCCAGGGCTGCATCCTGCACGAAGCCACACTGTGTTTAACTTGCAGCAGCTGCTTTCTGCATCATTCCAGATGTGCTTTTGCCTTTAAAAACTGCATTTGACCTAAACTGGCAATGGCTGAGGATCCAGCTGCCTGTGCAGCACAAGCCCAGTCGCCTCTCACACACCTTTCTCTCATCCTTGTTTTAATTTAAGAGGTACTGGGTGTATGTTTGTCATGACAGAGTTCTTAAAACTCACCATGTACCTCTCTGATAGTAAAATAGGTGTCACTTGGCACTTATGAGTGACAGCACTTGCTGCTCCCTCAAACACTTATAAGCACCTCCCCATTATCGTGCCTATTTAATTCATTTCTGTTATCTTATTTAGTAATTTCTGCAGGCACTGGAGGGTACACAGCCAGTGCCTTTGGAAAGCACGCAAGGATTTTGTGGAGAAAATGGGGTTTTAAGAGGCTGTCACAACTAGGACTTGTGTTCTGTCACAGTTAATCATGGAATCCTGGAATAGTATGGGGTTGGAAGGGACCTTAAAGGCCATCCAGTTCCAACCATGGGCACCTCCCACTAGCCCAGGTTGCTCCAACTCCATCCAACCTGGCCTTGGACACTTCCAGGGATCCAGGGGCAGCCACAGCTTCTCTGGGCAACCTGTGCCAGGGCCTCCCCACCCTCCCAGGGAAGAGTTTATCCCAAAGGCCCAGTCTAAGCCCGCCCTCCATCAGTGTGCAGCCATTCCCTGTGTCCTGGCACTCCTTGTACACACTCTCTCCAGGGGCGCTCAGGGCTGTTTCATTCACTGCGTGTCACACAGAACACAGCAGCTCACAGGAGGCTGGGGGCTTAGGGGCGGTGAAGGAAAACGCCTGGATGAAATAAACTTTTAACACGGCTACGCCACGTCCAGCAACACCTTCCTCGGCTCCCCGCTCGCGAGGGCGGCGAGATGACGGTTCGCGTTGAAACCACGGCGATCGGGGGGAGCTCGCAGACCCGACAGATTCCTATAGGCGTAGCTGCAGGGGGTTTTATTTTAAGCGAACACAGGGGAGAGGAGGCAACAGGTCGGGGCGATGCCGGGTGTGTACGCGAACCTGCGCCCTCAGGCGCCCGACGCGCCGCCATCTTTACGGGAGGCGGGGCCGCCTCGCCAGACCACGCCCCATTCAGACCACGCCCCAAAACCACACCGGCTCCGGCGCAGGCCACGCCCCCTTCCCGCCCCCCCCCCGGCCCCTCCGCGCCGCTTCCCGGTGAGTGCGGAGTCCCCGCCCGCGCCGCCGCCGCCTCTGCCCTCCCCGCTACCTCCCGTTCGCCCTAGCGCCCTCCGTCTCCCGGTCCGCCCCCTTCCCGCCGCTCCCGGTGCCCTCCCGAGCCCTCTCTCCGTTACCTGGGCGCCCGGGCGGCGGCTGGGCGCGGGCGGCGCGCGTGGCCGCGCTCGCGGTGCATGATGGGGCGGGCGCGCGCCACTTCCGCCGGGGCGCGGGAGGGGAGGGAGGGAGGGGAGCGGGGGCAACAAAATGGCGGCGGCGGCGGCTTAGGGGATATCCCGCTGCTCCCGCCGCCTTCCCGCAGGGGTTCGGCCGTAGAGCTTCCCTGCTCTCGGCGCCCCGGGGGTTTGCGCGGTGCGGGCCGTGGCGGGGCTGCTGTGCCCCTGCCGACCTTCCCGGAGCTGCCCGTAGCCCCTCTGGATCGTGCCTTCAGGAGCCAGTTTCTGTCCCTGACCGTACGCTTGGGAGCCTAATCCTGCCCCTAAACTTGCCCTCAGGAGCCTTACCCGTCTGCCGTGTGCCTCCCGAACCCCCCATCGCTGCTCGGCTTTCAGAAGCCTCGTGTCAAGAAATTGACGCCAACGTGTGTTTAAAAACGTGAACCAAAAAAACCCCAAACCAAACCCAGCGGCACTGCGATTCTTTTTCATGGCTTCTTCTGTGTGCAGTTCACCTCTGCACTTCTTCCCTTGAGCTACGGAAGTTTTTTATTTTCAGTGTAAGTTCTGGGTGGTTGTGAGTCATTTCAGAAGGTAGGGCTTGAACTGAGGGGAAAAACATTAACCTTCTGAACCTGATGTCCCTGTATAATAAATCTAGTTTAGAATAAATGCACCTTCAAAGGCATGCTCTTAATTTTTTCCTGTTGTGTTGCAGTGGACAGGTAAATGTTCTGTAAAAATTCACAGAGGTGAATTTTTTTGTGGAGACTTTGTTTTCTAAGTAACAGAGATTTCTGTTTTTAAACCAAGGCAAACTGAGACGTTAATTTAAAAAATTACATTTATTTAATTGCATTTAATGAATATTAATTATATTATTAATTTCATTAATATTAAATTAACCATTTCAGTAAACATAGAATTTTAAGTGAAGATTAAGATAGGTCACTGCCAGTTGTTTACTTTTGCACCATTAAATGTTCTCTGCTGTAAAAACTGTAACTCAGTGCCAGCTAAAGCCCAAAGAAACTGAAATGTAGCATTGACTGAGGTTGGAGTGAGTTTTAGGCAGAATTACATATCTTATATTGCTTAAATTTTGCTTAAATTGTACCTGATTGTGCTTTCCAAGCTGACAAAGAATGTGCTTGAAGTTCCCATAAAGTTACTCTTTGATTGAGTGTTGTAAGGTTTGAGGAGGTTTTGCCTTTCTGAAGTCTCTTGTGCATACACAGAGGAGCTTTAAACTCAAGGAGGGGCGATTTAAATTGTTTATTGGGAAGAAATCCTTCCCTAGGAGGGTGGGGAGGCCCTGGCACAGGTTGCCCAGAGAAGCTGTGGCTGCCCCTGGATCCCTGGGAGTGTCCAAGGCCAGGTTGGATGGGGTTGGAGCAACCTGGGCTGGTGGAAGGTGTCCCTGCCCATGGCTGGGGGTGGAACTGGGTGGAATTTACCTTCCCTTGGCCTAAGCTGCAAAGCTGTCTTTGTATTCGCAGCAGGAGGAGGAGCAGGATGGATGTGCTGAGGCCCACCCTGGTGAGGATTGGGGGGCGAGTGTACCGGAAGAATCTCATCCAAGAGCAGCCCTTCCCGCAGGAGGAGGAGGAGGATTTCTGTGCAGGTGAGGAGTGATGCTCGAGAGGTGAAAACATCAACCCTGGGGACCCAGGGAGCTCTGAGTGTCATTTCTGGTGTCTTTGTGAGCACAAAGACCTGCCCCTGTGGTGGAGTCAAGTGTTAATAGGGAGAAAACTTCTGTTTGATCCCTGATGATCCTGCTGCCCGAAGAGTGGGAGTAATCCCAGTTTCCCCCACCCCCAAGTAGGTTTGGCTGCTGTACTGCGGAGGGTCAGTTTGCTTGCTGGGTGTGAAAGATCTCCAGGAAAGGGGAAAAACAAATTGGCTCCGTACATCTGTTTTTCCCAGGTTCCTGAAGTGCCTTTTCTTTTCTGGAGTGTGATTATTTGGAGATATGGCAGCAGAAGAAGCTGCTAAAGACCCTCCGTCCTTGTGGTGTTTGTGCCTTTAAAAACTGACCTCCTACAATGCAGCTTTTTACCTATTTTGGGGGGAAAATTCTTCCTGCTGTGGTGCATTTTACCTTTCTGCCTGTGTGTTTGTTGTAGCTGTGTGTGAGTTGTTGTGGGCACAGAAAAGCTCCAGTGTTGTTTCTCAGACGGGAAGGGCTGTGGCTGTTGTGTCCTTTTTCTGCCCTCACCTTGCCTTTCAGTGGATTGAACAAAGCTTTGACATTCTCTTTCATTCCCCTCAGAGAATTTCTGTTTCTCTGAGGATTTCTAGTCTACTTTCATGGAACCCTTGGGCCAAAACTACCCTCACCTTTTATTTGTGTTCTTCTGCGGCTTTAAAGTTCCCAATAAGCTGGTGGCTTCCACCCTGCCGGGAGAAGAGACCGTTCCCACTGTGTGGGAATTGCAGAAATTCCAGCTGAGAGCAAACCTGGGCTGTAACTGCCTCTTTCCTGCGCCTCCCAGCCTGCCCGATTTAGAAGCAGTCATTATGTTTTCCAGAACCGGTGGCAAGGTGATAAATAAAAGGCAGTTATCCTCAGCAGAGAGGAGCCCGTTTCTTCCTTCATTTAACCTTGGGAGAAGGCTGGGAGGAGACTGCTGTCCTACATAAAGTGCTGCCAAACTTTTCAGAGGTTGTGGTTTCCCTGGTAGGCCCCGGTGACTGCGCGGACGATGATCCCTGCGACGCCTTTGTGGTGGAGGAGACTGAGCGAGGCTTCCAGAGCCGGGTGGAGGTTCCCAGCCCCTTGTACAAGTGAGCCTGTGTGCCTGTGGGGTTTGTTTGAGTTGCTGCCAGCTGAGGAAGCAGTTGAGCACAGAATATTTGTTTTCTTTTTGAGGTCGGGGTGAACGCCGGATCTCCGAAATGTGTTCCGTGCTGTGGATTTGAGCGGTCGGGCAGGGAAAACTGGCACTGCCTTCCCAGTGTGGTGGTGCCTCGCTCGACTCCCTGCCATCCCCGTGGCAGGGACAGCAGGTGGTGCTTGCTGGCTGGCAGGAGAGCGTTTGAGCATCTCTTCCCTTGAACATAAAAGCATCAGGGAGGGTGGGAGAAGGAAGGGGAGGAAGAAGTGGGGCGAGCAGCCCGGCAGGGGGAAGTTTGTGAAAGCTTTCAGAGCAAGCACACACCACTGGAATTGGCTACTGACTCCAGTCCAGTGTCTGCTGGGAAGCCTGTGGTGTTCAAAGCTCTGTCTAGTTATTTCTGACAGTTTTATTAGTTTAATAGTTTTGCTGAAATGTAGAGAAGGAAAAGTGGTCCGTGGTGTATTTGGATGCTGGCAAACGACTACCTTGAGCAAAGCAAAAAGCAGAAAAAAAGCCCTTAGTTTTTCCTCAGCTGGGATAATGGGAGAAATGGATAACCCAGCTGACAAATAGGCTGTGGCAGGATGTGCTGGGCAGAGCTGTCATGGACCACCTGACTCATTTTAACTTAAGCCAGTTGTGAGCCACAGCTCAACATCGTCCCGTGGTCCCAGGCTGCGCACGTGTGGAATCCTGGGAATCGCCTCCCTGCCTGGATGGGGTCCTGCACCATCTGTGTGCTGTGTGCGTGCATCCCTCCAGCACAGAAGGACAGAGTCTGGGGGTCCCAGGTGCCTGGGGCCAGCTCAGAGCCTGGGCCATCTCCTGCCCGGACACACTTGGTGGAGAGTGGCCCAGCAACACTTTGTGAGTGAAGCTCTTGCACTTTGTGCCTCCAGATACATCATTGGGAAGAAAGGGGAAACCAAGAAGAGGCTGGAAACAGAGACTCGAACCTCCATCAGCATCCCCAAGCCTGGAGTGGAAGGAGAAATTGGTGAGTTGAACATGCACAAAATGGATGTGCTTTCACTGGCTCTTGCAAAAACACAGTTTAAGCTGGGAAGGGGAACAGGAGGTGTTTTCCCTTTAATTCCTGTTTCTGACACAGCACTGACTCATTTTATGGCCCTGGGAAAATCACTTCACTTTTCTTCTGATTTTATTTTTTCTGTCTATAAATCCTTACAAAGCAGTGTAAGGTTTTTTGGAAAAAAAAAACCTATTTTAATTCGACGAATAGTTTCACTGTTCTGGGCCTTGAATGACAGGCTTGGGAACTTTGGCCCTTTTTGGTTTTGCTTTTAAAACAGTACCTTTTCTGTTAAGAAGGAACTGAATTAAACATCCAGAGAAAGGAACCCTGTGTGTTTCTGCACAAAATAAACAACAGCATGTGCTTTAATATGAGAAGTGTTTAGATGACATTGCTGCCGTTCCGGTGCTGTCACTTGATCCCGACAGTGAGAGCAGCCTTTCTGGTACCATATGTTCCTTCTCATCACTTCCAGGGACTTGAAAAGAAAGGAGACATTGCTCATCAGGGCTGACCTGTGCAGGACCTGCCAGAGTGGATATTTGGAGGGCTCCTTAGGGTGTGCTCCAGGGATTGTTGGCACGGTGTGCAGTTCTGTTTGTGACAGAGCTGTGAGGAGGAAGTGCTGGGGGGATCCCACTGGGATGCTGCACAGGAACATGGTGGTACTTCTCGAGAAGTGAATCTTGACTTCTTCCTGAGGACTGTGAAGGACTATTAAAAAGGCTGAGAGATATTAAAATCATGTAATAATAGGAAGCCAAGAAAATTTTGCTCCTTGTGGTTCTTTCCTTTCAAGCTCAAGTGTTCTCCGTTTGGTGCCTTGAAGTGCATGAACAAACGATAACAGGCCATCTTGATCCTTGATAGATTTTCTTTGCTTCTTCACTCTGACTGCCTTTATGAAAACTTGAAATAGTGCTCTAGAAATCTGAAGGGCTGCTGAATTGATGGACTCTCAGTTATTGTTTTTTAGGCCCTCAGAGCTGACTTTCTTGAGAGCAGAGGGATACTTTTGATGGAATCATCCTGTCTTTGCGGAGGAAAACACGGCCGTGTCAGGCATTTTAAGTCAAGCGGGGAGTCTGGCAGGATTTCTCAGTGCGTGGTTGGGGATTTTGATTCCTACTGCTTCCTCAGGAGCCTGGGACTAACAGCAGAGAGGTGCTGGCATGCAGGTTTTTCTAATTCCCCCCTGGCATCTCCTGGGTGAAATGTTCACAAAATCCTCTAATATTGCTAATTTTAAAGTGCACAGACAAGTATTTGTGTAATACCACGATCCACTTAATGACTCCTTATTTGGCTTCCCGGGAGGCAGACAGGTGTTGCTTTGTTTCCCTGCAGTGATCACCGGGCAGCAGCGGAGCGGTGTCGTCTCCGCCCGGACACGCATCGATGTGCTCCTGGACAGCTTCCGTAAGAAGCAGCCCTTCACACACTTCCTGTCCTTTGCTCTCAACCAGCCTGCCATCCAGGAGAAGTTCCTGCAGTTCAAGGAGGAAGTGTTGGAGAAATGCTCGCAAGTAAGGATCCACATGGGAATTAAAATGCAGAGTACTGTTTTTCATTTGTTGAGAGAGCTCTTTGTGTTTACCTTGAAGGCCTTATTCTATTCTGTTTCCTAGGAATGCATTTTTAACAGGCCTGTTACTTAAGTTGGTGGGTCTGCTGTGAATTTGTTGAGTGCTGTTGTGAAATCTTCTGAAAGGTGGAATGACTTACTTAGTAAATTGTTAGTTACAGTATTTTGTTCTCCTTAGAGGTTTTCCTAGATGGGAGGATATCTAAGATTCAGAAGAGGGTTGGGTTTTTTTATTTTTAATAGGAAAGCCACTAAATAATGTAGTGGACCTTTCTACATTTTATATGATTCCTACATAACCATGAAACCAGATAGGAATTCACGAGGTTGCTGCTGCTTCTGTTTCACTTTTCCTTTGGCTCCTGACAGTGAAGGAAGATGGGTGTCATTGCCAGAGCTGAGTGAGAAATGACTTGGTAGCACATGGCATCCTGCAAATCTCATCACTTCCCTTCTTCCCCAGGAGACTTTGTGCTGACAGTCCCTCCTACTTGCCTTCAGATCTTGCGTTGGGAGCAGCAGGAAATAGTTAGGCACAGGGAAATGAGGAATGGAATGGAAGAAAGGCTCAGTATTCCCTGGTTTATTTTAGTGTGCATCTAGTTTGACAAGAGTGGTGTGTCAGTGGGCTGGGCCAAGGAGAGGGAATGGTGTTATTAAACTGCTGTGTCCTCTGAGTGTGCTGGAGGACATCTCTGAGCAGGAGAGAAGAGTTCTCTTTGTGGCTGCTGCAGGTTGCACTGCACACACACTGCGGGGCTCTGTGGGCTGATAATCTTACCTTTGTGACCCTCACTCCTGCTTGTGCCTTGCAGAGGGGAGAACACAATCGTGCAGATAGCACAGCTCCAGAAGTTTAATTTCCTGTGTCTTCCTGCCGTGGGAGTGAATTATCTGATATTTGGGGAGTTCTTGCTCAAGTTCTTGTGGTCACTTGCATGTCAGTTGTCTCATCTCCAAGAGCTGACCTGAGCTGGCTCTCCAGTCTTGTCTTGCCTGGCAGTTCAGATTCAAGCCCTTCTTCTCCTCCCAGCTGCATATTTCCATGACATTTTAGGAGCTTTCTAGCACTGGGATTTCCACCTGATGTTAAATACAACTGAAATTGGCCAACAGATCCCGGGATTGGCCAGTGTGATGCCATGAGAACCCTTTCCTCGGGCCAGGAGGGTCATCTCTCCCCACTGGCCCGTGGCACTACCTCTATTAAAGCTCACTTTGACTCGGAGGGAGCCCTGCAGGCAGGGGGATGGAAACATTAGCCTGAGGAGGTGTTGGCTGGGCCGAGAGTGCCAGACCTCACACTGGTGTCAGTGGTGGCCTGGCTCCCTCTGTTGGTTTCTAGTCCCAGGGCCAGCCCTTCTCCCTGCAGGGAGCTCCTCTGTGCTGCCTCCTGCTTGGGGTGCATCTCTGCAGCCCTCCCTTGGCCCAGCCTTGCCTGGTGATCTCACTTGCTCTCCAAACCCCTCCTGATCTCGTCTCTGTCACATTGTTCCTCTCTTTCTCACTCTTAAGTGCCAGTTTGCATGCCTGGGGAGACTGGGAGGTCTGCCATCCCCTTAGAAACATGTTCACAAATTTATCTCTGTGCTTTCCTCGGTGTTGTCACATTCAGAAGGAGCTGCCTGGGAACATCTGCAAACCTTCACGTGCTCCTTGTCCCAGAAAGCTGCAGCAAGCCAACCTTGGTCAGAGAAGTGCTGAGACCAGGCTGGTCATGTTCATTTTATCTCCTCTTGCCTGACCTTCTGTCTTTCCTACAGTTTTTGTTCTGTTCCTGGACCGCTCTGAGTCCCATGAGGGCCTGAAATCAGCTCTAGAGTTCCTGTTTTTGGTTTGAAATGTAGGATTCAGTCAGTAACAGGTACTTGGGGGGTTGCATACGTGTAGCCTAGGAATATATAGTGCTTTATTTCTCTGCCCTTCCCTCTCCTGGTGTTAGCAAAAGGGTTTCTGGCTGTATTTATTGCTGCCTGTTAGCTGGAGGAGTGTGTTGCAGCCCCGTCCGTCTCTCAGTCACTCCTCCAGCTGGTAGTGCCACTCTAATACCACTTCATCTCACAGCAGGGTCTGCTGGAGAGCACATCACTGACACAAAACAGTCATTCAAAACTGTGCCTCCCAGAGCAGTAAGAGAGCTTATAGGTTTGTCCAAAGCGACGGGATTGCTCAGGATACTTGGAGAAATCTGAATGGGTTTCAGTGACAGGAGCGGGGCGTTTCTCTTCCCGGTGCAAAACATTGCAGAATTGGGTAAACTGCAGCCTTTGAATGAAAGGTAATAACAGTAAGGAAGGGTAAGGACCAGGAGAGTGGGTGTGGGGGTGTGTGTGTGTGAGGATTTCTTTTGGCCATTGAGCATTTGTGAGGGACTCTATTTCTCTCTGAAGCAGTTACCATGACAACCATTCATTTATATTTTATGGCATTATGTTGGTGTGTATGTGCTTTCTAAGTTTTTTTTTGTGTGTGTGTGTCTTTAAAACCTTTTAGAAGATAAACCTTGTGTTGAAATACAGCACACTTCAGGTGTTGTTCATGCTGTACAGTCAGGCTGCCAGTCCTGAGCAGAGCTGAGGGGAGGCTGTCTGGAGGTTAATTTAATATAAACACGGGGAGGGGGCTCACCTGGACAGGCTCCTGACTGATGTGCTGCAGTGGGAGGTCCAGATAACTGGATGACCTTGGAAGTCTCCTCACACAGTCGTGTAGGTGTCAGGGTGAGGAAAACTGAAATGTCTGTCTGAGCATGCAGGTGGAAAAGGGAAGAGACTTTGCAGTAATATTGCTGTGAAAAATCACAGTTGGGTCTTTGAGAGCTGTGCAAATGCAGTTTTTGCAGGCTGAACAGGCTGCAGATGTAGCAGGGAAAAGCAACATGATTGCTGTAATATATGGCAACCTGTAAATATCAGACATTGCTAATGAGATATTGTATCTCAGAGTGCAAGGGACAGAGAATGGGAGGGATTTTGAAGCCTGCAGATCTTCAGTCAATCCTGAGGAAATGCTGTTTTCCCGGCTCACTCCTTTGTTTGTGGATCAGGGTGGCAGAGGGCATATAGCTGGCATGCAGTATCCTGTTATTAGGGGAAAAAAAAAACCCAAAACATAAACCTGTCTGCAAACATGTGAAGCTTTTAAGTCAGTAGAGCAGATGCAGCCAGGGAGGAAGAGCTAAGGAGTCGATCCTTTGCCTCGTCATGTAGAATGCCCAAAGTGTCCTGTGGTCTGTGGTTTCCCTACTGAAGGGTCAGAAATTTGAAAGGACAACTTTTGCAAGGAGAGGTGAAGACTCCAGATAAAACCCTTTCTCCTTCTTCTGAAGGAGGAGAGCAAAGGGCCAAGTCTTAATTAGCAGGAGGGAGGGAAAATGACGATTTTTTTCAGTCTGAGTGTAAATGAGTTGGGATTTTTTTTGACCATGACAGGGCAGTGTCAGGGAGAGACGTGAGCTAAAATGGACAGTCATCGCGTAGGGATGGTGCATAAAGGGATTATTCTTCCTGCCTCAGAGAACCCAAGTTTGAACAGTAAATTTTTAGAGACATTTTTAGGGCTTCCTGTGAGGCAACATAGTGGTCGCTGATGGCATATCATAATCTGGGACTAGAATAAGTGGGTTCCAGCCTTTTTGCATCCCAGCAAGCAGTATCCAGCCATGAAGGGCTGCTGAGACACCCGTGGGAACGTTGGCTGTTCCAGGGAGAGCTCCCTCTGACGCAGCATCTCGTTTACGTGTGGGAGAAGTGGGATCTGCTGGCCTGTGAAAGAGTAGGGAGTGTAAGCAGGGTTTTGAGGAGCTGTCTGAAATACTAGGGAGTAAAGTAGGAAGATTATCTGGGTCTTGTCCTGCTCTCTGTGCACTGCCCCTCCCCGCTGAGCCCCCTGGCAGCGGTAGCGTGGCTCAGGGAGGTGACGTGCCATCGCTTCATCAGCTCTCAGCCCACACTCGGGGCTTGGAAAGCTCAGGGGAAAAGGCTGCTTGTGGGGCAGGTTGGTGTTTACAGCACAAATCGTGCTGTGGCAGAAAATGAGGCTTTGGCTTTCTGACCTGCAAACTGCTTTGCTGCTGTACCTCATCTGTGTGCGCTGTGGGAGTGACACCGGCTGGTTGTCCGTGGTGAGGGTAAATCAAACCTTCTCCCACTTTCTGCTGTTTTGTGATGGGCCAAATATTCTCTGGCTACGGATCTCATTGGGGAAAAAAGGCTGACAGAGAGAAAGCGTGTTCTGTCATGCATGTTAACAGCAGGATGAATTAAAGGAAGCTGCAAGGTTTTTACTGCAGGGAGGGGAAGGCGGGGAGAAGTGAGATGGGACCATCCCTGTTTTTTGCCAGCCTGTGGCTGCTGGAGCAAGCCCCTGGCCTCTGTGTTGCAGCCTGGCTTGTCCCTAGTCCAGCCCATAAGCTCTGCTGTAAAGAAGGGTCTGGATGTGGTCATTAGGCATGAAAAATGCTGAGTGAGATGTGGGGCATTGAACTCTTGATGGGCTGAGATACTGCAGTGTTTAAACATCTGAAAGGTTTTATTTCAAAGTCTGGAGCACAGCTAGAAGCTTCAAAGCTGTCATTCTCAGTCAGTGGACTCTTTTCAGATGGAGAAAAGCTTCTATGGTCTGGCAGGTTGGCTTCTTCTGGAGTTAAAATTGGAGGTTATTTAATGCGCTGATGGGAAATGGCCACAAAGTGGAAATAATTTTTTTAATATGGGTGTGTTAACCATCCTCGAGGTATTTTTAAAAGTATCCTAGAACAAAAGAGCCTGTTTCTTAAAGCTGAATGTAACCACTGCTCCACCTGGGAACAGTTCTTCCCCAGCAACAACACGCAGCTCTTCTTATAAAGGGAATTTAAACTTAATTCATCTTGGCAAACTATAGGGCACATGGGAAGAAGAAAAACGTAATTATCAGAGCTGGTATTAGCTGTGCTTGTGTTGTGAGGTGTAACCTGTGTTTAGACAGGATTTAGAGACCATTTAGAGCTTGTCACTACAGCTGGTTCCAGTGTTACTGCACAAGAAATGGACTTAAGTATTAAATCTGTGCTGGCCTGTGTTGAGTTCGTTGCTGGTGGCAGCTGCCGCTTCGACATCTGTGGAAGTCTCGTCCCGAAACCCTGTGAGTGCTGCTGGTCCTGGGTCCCAAATTGCAGCCTGTTGGAATGTGCTTCCAGGCTGCTGTTCAGCAGGAAAGGCAGGCAGGGAGCTGTGGGACTGTGCCTCTCCTGCCAGGCTGAGCTCGCTTCCTCACAAAGCTTGGGAAATTTTGTTTCTCAACTTCGAATCATTTCTGACCCAACTAGAGATAAAAGTACCGATGTCAGGGGCTCAGTACCTGTTCTCTGTGGTATTTATCCCTCTGATGGAGGGGGGTGGGTGTGTGGATGAGGTAAGACACCAATATATGATGGATTGACTGATTTGTAGGATCACGGGGTCAGCAGCAGCCTATTCCAGAACCCTGCAAAGCTTCACCTGACTCTTGGGACGCTGGTGCTCCTGAATGAACAAGAGATCCAGAAAGCATGTGACCTCCTACAGCAATGCAAAGAGGACTTTGTGGAGTAAGTGATGGAAAAGGGATGTCATCACCAAGGGTCGGGTGGGGGGAAAGCAGCACGCTGTCTTTGACAGGGGACGGCGATGACAAAAGCAGCTCAATAGTCTCTCTCAACACTAGAAATTTAGGAAAAGGCTGAAACCTTTCAAATGGGAGCAGCAGAAATCACCAAGCAGCCACAAAGAGCCTAAGAGCATCTTGCAGCTCAGCTCAGACCCTCAGCACTCCCTGAAAACCTGCTCTGCTCATTTCTGTTTCCCACGTGCGCCCCCGGGTATTTTTTTGTGCGAGCGGTTTTCGCCGCTGCCCCCGTCCCTGCTGCAGGGGGAGGGCCGAGCTCCCTCACCTGTGCACGTGTCCCGCAGCGGGCTCTGGCACGGAGCAGATGCTGAGGTGTCCTTGACACGCATTGCTTGCCGTGGGAGCCGTGTGCAGGGAAGGCAGCACGAGCCATGTGAGCAATCAGCCCGACAGCTCCGCTCCGGGGCCGCGGTGCCTCGCTGCCTGTTAACACCGAGCTGCAGATGTTGGGGCTTTAGCTGCAAATGTGGTCCAACGACACCGTAATTAGCTTATCTCTGTTCAGCTTAGAAATTGGAGATGGCCTGAGGGAGGGGTTTATTTATTTATTTCTGCCAAGCCTTTGCACACAGAGCACGGATCCTTCGGATTCATTTATTTGTTGCCTCCGTGCAAGAATTGGCCACACTGTGCCAGGTGATATCTATGGGAATTAATGCCAAAATTCATACCTCTGCCTTTAAAATGACAGCTCCAGTTGTTCAGCTGTTGAACAGAAATGCAAGTGCGTTTCCAGGGGGAGGCTCTGCCTGCAACGTTTTGAAAGTGCCAGCTTCCTCACAAGTGCTTTGAACTGAGGTGGAGAAAATCTTTGCTCCCCATTTTCTTTAGTGGAGGGGGAATCAACACTTGAATGTAACCTTTAGATTATTTCCCCTGCCACACCCAAATAAATATACTTGCAAAATTAGCCACATAAACCTTCGTTAGCCTTCATTTCCTTTTCTAAGTGCAGGCAGTGCCCTGTGAAGGTGGATGTGACCTTTTTGACCCTTTCTTTTTTTTTTAGAATACATAACCTTTAGTGCTGTGGGTGTGATGTGCATAATAGTACATTTGTGCTGTTTTCCTCCCAGTAACCTTACTGGGAAGGGAAATCATTATTCCACTTGGGAATCTTAGCTGAGAACCTCAAAGGCGGTCGCACGGGCAAGCCAGAGCAGAGCAAAGTCGCACTCACCTTGTTAACTCGTGTTTGTTACATCTGCCTGCCCAGACACTCCCTGTGCTTTCCAGCAGGCCTCGGTGTTAAACAAGGCATCACTTACTCACAGGGAGCACTGCTCTGGTGGGAAAGGCAAGGAGGCGGCGTGTTGGGAAGCAGATCCACTTCCCAGTGTGTTTGCAGGTGTGGGAGTGCATATTACATCCTGCACGCGTTTGCAGTGTCGCCTTCCTGCAAGAGGAGCTGGAGCTGACTTTAAACCAGCTCAGCTTACTGGGGGATGTTGCAGTGTGCTTAGAACTGTGCTCTGTATCAAGCGGCTTTCCCAGCGAAAATCAGCAAGCTGGAGACTCTGTCACGGTTGCTCTTTTCACAGGGAAGGCAGGAGCCTCTCTGGAATGAGAACTTGTGCTGTTTACTGCTGGTGGGTTTTCTGAGATGACCACGGAGATTGAGGTGGCCTGTGAACACTGACAGGTCGACTTAATATGTGTCAGAAACACTGAACAGATGAATTTAAACTATTTTACTTCTTGAGATGATAAGACAATAGGAACAATAGCCTTTTGAACTTTAGGACGTAGGGAGCCTTTTTGTGTTTGATTTTTTTTTTTTCAGTGAAGACAACCTGAAAGATTTGGAAAAGTGAAGAACTCCTCAGTGGTCTGTGTAATAACCTCAAATTTGTGTCTAACTATAGCCAAAAAAAAGTATTTTATATCATTCCCTTAGCAAACCCAAATATTTGGCGTGTGCATGAGGAGCACTATGGGTTGGATTTCAAAAGCAGGTGTGGCATTTTGCTTTTTAACATGAGGGGTTTCTTGGGTTTTAGCCAAATCACCGGAGGCAAGCCCCTGACCGTGGAGGTGGCGGGAGTGGAGTACATGAACGACGACCCTGCCGTGACCGACGTCCTTTACGCCAAAGTCCGCATGAAGGATGGCTCAGACAGGTGAGTTCCCCATGCCCCTTTCCCTCATTCCCCCTCGGTGTGCCAGGGAAACCCTCTGGGGCTGGTGGGCCCTGCTGGCAGCCCTCGGGCCAGCAGTCAGGAAGATGAAGTCATCCTCGCTTCCTAAACCGGTTAAGGCAGTGATGTGTTTGCTCTTTGAATCAGTCACTGGTGGTGCAGCTGAAAGGTGTCATTTGTTCCTGCAGTGGCCTGTCAGGTTGAATAATGGAGTCACAGCTCACACGGGGATAAGATGGCCGAGGAGATACTCCTGAGATGACTTAGAAGGCAGGACGACTTGGCCTCTGCTGTCTAGTTCCCACCCTGCAATCCAGATTAATCTGGACAGCCTGGCCTATTCTTCAGCACTTAATTATTCTTAAAACCCAGTTACCCCAGAAGGTTCTCAGAAGAGCATGGCTTGATTACAGAGTTAGTTGCTGTGTCTGTAGCAGCCTGGAAAGGGTGCTGGGTGTGAAATGTCTGAGCTGCTGCTGTGAAATCTTGAAGCCTGGTTGGTGTCAGTGTTTGTGCTGTTCACCACTGGGGCTTATGGCTTTGGCTCTTCACCACTGGGGCTTATGGCTTTGGCTCTACAAGCACTGCCCAGGATGTGGCAGTGTCTGGACAACCTTCCTCCACCTCGGTTTTGGCAGGTACATCACACGTGGCAGCACCACCTTTTCTTTTGGTGCTTTCTGGAAGACCGAGGAAACACGGATGGGGCTTGGAACAACCTGGTCTAGTGGAAGGTGTCCCTGATCCTGAATGGCCCTCCCAACCCAAACCATTCTAGGATTCTGTGATTAACAAAGAGGGAAGGGGAGTAGCCAAAAGAGCTTTAGCCTCCTCTCTCTGAGCCTCAGCCTTCTCTTTTCCTGACAGCGCTGCCCTTTTGTTGTCCGTTCCCATTGCCAGAGGACAGCAGGAGCTAGCAGGGGAGCATGGAGCAGTGCAGCTGGAGGAGGGAGGCAGTGAGCAGGGACTGGCTCAGGGAAGAAGGGACATGTTCTGGCATCTCCTTTCCTCAAGGGCTGAGGAGACAGAAGGGCCACCTGCTCAAAACCGCACTGTGGAGGCTGTGTTGAAATAAGAGATCGGAAGTGGGATAAGGAAATGGGTGGGAAAATGAAAAATGTAAGAATTGCTGGGAGGCAGTAGGAATTGAAATCGTTTCCTTTTCTTGGCTCTTCCACTTTGAAGTCTGTCCTACCCTGAAAGAGGTGAGATAAAACAGGCAAGGCGGGTGGAGAACCAGGGCAAGCTAGAGATCAGCCAGGAGACAGAGCACAGGGAGACAGAAGGCAGAAGCACTCGGAAAGATGAGAAGAAAGCAGACACTGGGTGACCCAAATGCCCTTCAGTGGGTTTGCTGTGGAGAGCATCTAAAATACCAGCTGAGAGCTGAGGCATGGGCCTGTTCTCCTGAGTCACTGAGCTCTGGGGTTCTCTGAGCCTGCTTGCCTCTGGAAACAAGTCTGCAGCCTGAGGAGCAGGGAGAGTATCCTGAGGAGCAGGAAGAGTGTCCTGTGGAGCATAAGTAGGGCCTGAACTGCCAGTGATGTCTGCCTGCCTCTGAGGACAGCTTGGATTGTTGGTACTAGCACTGTGGTCTGTTCAGGTGCCAGCTGGATCCCTTCTGCTGAGAACCCACTTAGCCATAATGCTAGAAAAAGTGCTGATGTGCATCAGGGGTGGCAGAGCTGCTTTGGGCAGGGGAGAGAAGTAAGGGCTTCAAATCCACCTTGCCTTCAAACTGAAAACAACCCCTTCCACCACCACTCTGGGAAAGGGCCGGTGTCTCATCTGTTCTTCACAGAGAGCTGTTAGCTGAGGTTTTGACCAAACTCAGACCTTGTGCTTTTTGTGGCACTTGGAGGCTACCAGGCTTCTCTTCCACAGTATTTGTTTTGTTTTTTTCATAGCAGTGGGCTCAGAGAGGGCCAAGGAATTGAAGTTTTAATCCTTGGCCCAGGCTGGTTCTGCCCTCACGGGCAAATTAATTCATCTGGCACTTCCCCCCTGATATGGTTCCTTAACTGTTAGCAAGCATCCAGAAGACCATTTAGCTTTGCAGAGGTGAAAGCAGGTATTTTTATGTTGATTGAGAGCAGTTTTTGCTTCCACTGAGATTCCAGCAGACACCGTGTTGGACCAACAGTAAAGAGGGAACAAATGGTGATCTCTCCAGAAAACTCTGCTTTGTTTTCTGGCCTGCGAGACAAACCATTGCTGAGCAGCTCCTTGCACTTCTTGCCTGCTGAAACCTGCTGTGCCTTGCTCAGGGAAATGGGTAGAAAGCAGTTTCTGAGCTGCAAGGCCAATACTAGAGGAGAGCAGCGACCACGTGGCTTTCTGTGCTGGATCAGACTGCTGCAGCCTGTGTTGGAGAGAGGTGTGTGCCTTCCTGTCTCATGCAAGATGTCCTGTTAGCTCTGTGTAGTTGCTGGCATGGCTGAGGGGTGGAGTTCCTTCCTGATCTTTGGATCATCTTGATCAGCTTAAGCTGTAAAGCAGGAGATTTGATTTATCCTGACTTAGCTTGCGTAACTGCAGACAGAATTAGGGGTTGGCAAGCCCTTCTGCACATATAATGGCTCAGACTGAAAGAGGGATCATGCTCTGATGCCTCCCACATGGCAAATAATTTCCATTATAATTCATTCTAATTTGTTTTATTTCCTTGATTAACTTTATAACGTAATAAAGCACCATTTTCACTTGAGCTATTCTCTGTTAATTTGTTTTAGTATTGTCTGTAATGATATTCATTTAATCTTTGTCATTGCTAATTTTAAAAATCACTGAAGTAAAGCCAGGAAATGTAGAAAGCCATGACAATTGGTAGTTTGAGAGTCTTGGAATAGTCGCATGGGGGCTTGCAGCCCGTGAGGGGCAGTCCAAAGCCAGTGGTGGGGTAGGAGCTGGCATCTGGAGCGTGGCAGCCCCGGGCTCTGGGGACCAGCCTCAGAGCAGCCATGCTCTGCTGCAGCTGAGGCACCAAAGTGGTGGGACCTCACGGAGCAGAAAGCTGTCTAATCCCTGGGACGTGCTGAGAGAGGCCCAGATCCTTCTGCATGGGCTTAGTACCTTCTGGCCTTGTTTTTGGGGATGAGAAGCTCTTGCTCTGTCACATCCTCGCTGCTTTTGGTAAGGCTCAGGCACTGTGGAAATCTTTTGGGGATGGCAGCAGCCTGGAATTTCCTTCAGCTCTTTAGGCACAGGATATGTGTTGCTCTGCTCCTGCTCCTGCTGCCTATCCCAGGACAGGTCTGCCCACAGATCCCGGCAGCCACAGCCACTTTCATCCCCAAGCAAGGCAGACACAAAGGTGGGAATGAGTCTTTTGGTTCTGCTTGCTCAGTAGCTCCAAAGCTGGAGTGTTCACCGGGATGTGCTGTCTGGGTTTGTGCCCTCTGTCACCACGTTCTGGGCTCTCCCAGAAATTAAGTCCAGTGACTGGTTTGCTTATTTGGGACACAGAAGGTCCAGGCTCCAGCAGTCCCTGAGCAGATCCTCTGGGACACAAGGTGCCTAAGCCCCTGCGGGTCTGCAGATTGTAGCGTTTGCAGGGAGAGTCACATTGTGTTTCCTGGCAGGAGAGAGATGCATCCTTCAGCTCCCAGTAACATCTGTCACTGTGAACGAGCTCTCTGCTGTGCTAAATCTGCCCTTCTTCCTGGAATATTTGCAGCAGAAGCCATCACGGAGGAAGCTTTGCGAAACAGCCAGAACTTTTTGCATTAGAACTGAATCTTGATGTCTCTGCTCGCTTTCCATCAGGGACCAGCTCCCTTTCCTGTGTGCGTGCAGAGACTTCATTTCTCACTTGCTGCCCTCCCGGCTGAAAAGCCAAAAGCTGATGATGCAGGGGTTTCTCCTTAGTTTACGTGGCTCTGTTCTTTCTCTTTTTGTCTTCCCAGATTGCAGGTGATCGCTGATCGGCTGGTGGAGCGGTTTGTGGCCTCTGGCCTGATGCTCAAAGAATGGGACAGGGTGAAGCTGCACGCTACAGTCATGAACACTCTCTTCAGGAAAGATCCAAGTACGTACAGACCCTTCATCCTTACTGATAAATGCATCTAAAGGAGTCCTGCTGCTCAGCAAATGCTTTTGTTGTTTGCTTTTTCAATGGTGTGATTTTTCTTAATCTCAAGAATACCTGCAGGGCTGTGGGGGGATGTCAGGAGATAAAACCAAGGAGAAAATTAAAAAAGCCATCAGCAGAGTCACAGATTCAAAAACCCTGTCACCCAGGAGCACTCGCAGGATCTGGACCAGGAAGGAACATTCAAGTACCATCTGAAGTCTTGGGCTCTCTGTGCCCCAGTGTTAAATTGAAATTGGGTGACAACTCCGTGTGCTGTGCTGACCTTTAAACAAGATGAAAACATAATCCTCTTTGGTCAAGTTAAAGATTGCCCGTTGGTTTAGGGGCGTGATTCCAGTGTGTTTCTCCTTAAATGAGATGCAGACGGCTGTGAGGCTGAATGTGAGCTATTCTTGAGTGTATGGCGTCTGCCAGCTCTGCCAAGAGATTGTCTGCTCTGGCAGTCTGTTCTTATCACGTTACTTTATAAAGCAGCCTCAAAAGCATCGTGTCTGGGGAGGGGCAGTGTGTTACAGCCTGGTTCTCCACGTACAGACGTGTGTGTGCTCTGCCACGGTGACCCCCGTGCAGCGCAGTGGGTTGTGCTGGGGATTCTCTAGTTGCTGCCTCTCTGAGTCTCTGCGTGAAGAGTGATAAGAGCAGGTGATTTGTGTCGTGGTTTTCTGGGCAGGTTTTGCATGTGCCTGGTCCTGAAGTCAGATAAGCACAATTTTCTGTCTCAAATCGAGACCCAAAAACGTGAGCTCAGTGTGGCTCTCTGTGATGGGAGGCACATGGGCAGCTATGCCTGGCATTCTGACTCTCTATTCTGCACAACCCCATGAGGCATGTGAGGCATTCAGACACTATGGGGAGAGCATTCTGCAGGCAGCCGTGGAAATTGCTTTATATTCCATACAGGATTTGAATAGCAGGCTGGATGTGAGGGGGACTTCATAGTTAATGCTGGAGATGAAAAAGGAATATTGAATATATTCACCGAGTGAGACAGAGGTCCTGTGGAAAGAACAGATCATGTACTGAGGGATTATATAAAAATCCAGACATGCTCTGGGGAAATGGATCTCAGACACAGGCATTTGGCAGTCGCTGTAGGCCCAGGTTGCTGTCCTGAATGTCTGTGTGGCTGTGTGCCCACCCCAGCAGAAGCACCCACAGCACATGGATGTGCTCCCCGGAGCGGGCGGCAGAGGTTTGTGTCGGTGCTGTCCGGATCCGGATCGCCCCTGGCATTGTGCTGGCACGCTCAGCCTGGGATTTGGTGCTGTTCCAGGTGATGCTTTTACCCTGGCATGGCTGGATGTGGCATTAAAATCAGCCAGAGAGAAGCAGGTGTGTTGCACTGAGCCATCAGCCTGTAGCTCTGATTTAGGGTCTTTCCTCCAGGTGACATAGGTGATCCCGATAGAGGCTGCCTGTTTCCTTTCCTGCCTTATTCCCTTCAAAAGGGAAAGTGGGTTTTTTGCACTAAGAACAAGGTCTATTAGCTGGCAGCTGACTTTGGGGAGGGAGAGAGTGGGGGGTGAAGTACAGCACACAGAGTTCTCCCATCTGAAGCTCATTCTGGTGGTGGCTTTTCTGTCTACAGCTGAGGAGCGAAACAACACAATGACTGGTAAATCATCTTTCAAGGAGCGGGAGTCATTTAATGGCCGAAATATCCTCAAGGTCAGTATGAAACAATTAGGGAAATGGGCCCAGCTGTGGATACTGTATAGCCAAAAGAGGTTGAAACACCTCTTCAAGACTGCTTTTGTCTTAGGCTTATGGGATCTCCTGTGAGGGGGGGGGGGGAAATCTGTTTAGAAAATAAACAATCCAGATCTCTCCTAATTGGGAGCATTACAGTATTTAACAGAAGCATTCCTGAAGCTGCTGAGGCTCAGAGCAGGAATATGTAGCACGAATGCTAAGTGGGTGTTCATGTTGTCATTTACTTCATTCCTGTTTTACCCTGGAGACTCAGGCTCTTGTTGATTCCCAACCCACCAGAAAGAAGCACTTTGTTGCTCTTGTTCTACTCATATATATTTATGAAACTAAACCTGACTCTCATTTCACTTATTCTTTTCTTCTTGTTTTTAATCTCTGCTATTGATTTGCATGGGTTTGCTCCAGAAAAATAGCAGGTAGCAGTAGGGAGTCCCACCAGCCAGGATCTGAGGGCTTTGGTAGTGATCAGAGCATGGAAAACACGATCCTGCATTGTGGAGGTGGGTAAGGCTTGAAGGGGAGCATCCCGCAGCCTCCCAGGCTTTGCCAGCCAGGATTGGGATGCAGGCAGCCTCTGCTGCTCATCCAGATGGCTGTGGCAGAGTGGGGCTGTGGTTGCTTGACCCCTACAAGTGTCCAGAGAGAAAAGAGATGCACAGAGGAGGAGAAATGGCAAACAGCACTGGGTTGTAAGCAAATTTGCAATCCTCATTGTGTGAGAGGATTTTGTTGCAGGCAGCTCTGATAAGAGGGAGCCAGGACAATGCATGGATACATGTGGGAACGTTTAGGAGATATTCTGGCAACAAAGAAACATGAGAGAGGATTCAGCCTGGCTGGGAGCTGGACTGCCCAGAAAGACTTCAGAGTCCTCCCAGAGGAGGGAAAGGGTGTTCTTTATTTGTATTTACAGTTTTAATAATGTATTAGGCAGTGGATGCAGGGGGCTGTGAAGGCAGGGAGTGGAAGTGATTGATCTCCTCTGTGCAGAGGACAAACAAAGGGACAAAATTAGGTTAAGCTCTCATTGTCCTCAAACGGTCTGTGCGAGCGCGGTGTCATGACTCAGCGTCGCCACGCGTTGAGTGTGCGGTGTGAGACTGCAGTATTGCGAGCTGGAGCAGGAAAGCCACAGACACGGTCCCCTTCCTGACGTGATCTGCAAGTTTTGGTTAGCTCCCGGTGTGGGAGAGCCGGCCCCGGGAAGTGGAGGTGTGTCAGGAGCCCTGAGTGCCTGCAGGGACTCGGCTTGCACGGCGTACGCCTTCACTGCTTTCTCTTGCTTCTGTTAAACTTGTCCTCAGGCTTTACAGAAACATCAAATCAAACTGGGGGTCTCCCTCAGTGCTCCTCGTTCCAAAGCATTTGTGATCGGGAAGGCATTAACGATGCTCCCTCTGCCGGTCACACCATTTGTGGGGTCTGAGGATCGGGGCTGGGGGGGGGGGGGAATGGTCTTGTGGTGCTCAGAAATGCAACTGCCCTCCCTCCGAGGCCGCTCCTTATTCTTGATGCTCTCGGCAATACGAGCCAATGCATTTTTAAAGCTCCTAATTGATTTTGTACTGACGTAGCCGAAGGAGCTGCTGGCTGTTTGGACTGTTGGTAATTACTTCAAAGCCTGTCTTGCCGCAAGAAATGTCATCCTCCTCTCCCACCTCCACCACATTTCCTAACCTGCTCGCTTCCTATTTCCCTTTGGTCTCCCACGTGCCTGCAGCAGAACGCCCGTTGGCATTAATTAATTACATGAGTCATAAATAGCTCCAGGCTTCTTACCAGAGGAGCCCAAGCCTCAGTGAGCCACTGATGCATTCCAGCGTGACCTTGCAAGGATGCGCCGGTTCCCTCCCAGCCCGCTTTTATATCCATTATTTATCTTGTGCTCGGGAGGCTGCCCTCTCACAAAGTGGCTTCATTAACTTCTGCACTAGGATCTAAACGACAGGCTGTTAATGAATATGGCTGCAGTTAGGCAGGGTGGTGGGAGGGAGAGCCACGTGTGATTCCAGGTGGTGGGACTCTGCCACAGCCGTGCCGAGTGGCCGTGTTCCCACTTGGAACGCTGACAAAGCGTGGCTACTGGCAGGAGGGCACGAAGTGGGGAAACTCGGGTTTCATTCCTCTCGTTCCCGTTGTGCAGCCAAAGGCTTTGCCGAGCAGAGGGCAGGACCTGAGCTATGGGAGCACGGATCTCGACGGAGACACCGTGACTCTGCTGCTCCAGGCTGAGGAGGCTCCCCGTGGTCAGAGCTGGGGGGGTGTGTGTGTGCAGATGCACTGGCAGCACATGTTTGCTGATACCATGCCTGCGTTACCCCAGGCTCCAGCTGGTATTTTGCTTTCAGCTGAACTAATCGGAATTTTATTTAATAATCCTTTGTTCTACCCGTTCCGCAGAGTTAAACACACACTCCTATTTGTGCTAATAAATGGCTGTGCAGGCCGGTACCTTCCCACACTGCTCAGAAAATAGATTCTGTAGGATGAGTTGCTTTGGGGAGTTTAAATTACTTCTGTCTTGAAGAATATCCGTGAAAAAGGCTTCCTGGCATAGGTGGAGCTGAGAGCCCAAGGGATTGTGTGACCCAACAGATTTGTGTCTCACAAAGCTTTGGCATTGTGCTTGCCTAGTCTAGTCCCAAAAAGCTGGAGATGCTTCGTGGACCACTTCCCAGGAAGCGATATGCGTTCCTTCTAGGCTGGCTAGTGGCTTTGAACATCCCAGTCACGTACCGGAGTCGCGCTCCGGTCGGGAGCAAAGTGTCTCATCTCTTGGAGAGCGGAGGGAGGAGGCAGCGATTCAGGGCTGAGAGACATGGGCAGCTCCTTCCCCAGGGTGAGGGCAGGGCCAGGCCCGGGAGAGGTGCTGGTTTGGCAGCCCCCCTGCCCTGCCTGCTCCCGTGTCCCCGGCGGTGGCCGCGTGCCCTGCGTGGCAGCTGGCACGGCGCTGGCACGGAGGCGGCCGGGGCAGCTGCCGGCACCTCCGGAGACGGGGCTGCGCTGCCTCCGGGCTTTTATTTGTTTCGCTCGGTGGAAAAAAAACTAGGGCTGCAGTGAATAAATAAAAACAAACAGAAACGCGAAGGGACCGCCCGGCCAAAAATTGCTGTGATGCATTTGAGGGAAAGGAAGGCTTGCAGGAGGAAGAAAACCACCTGGGCTTTCACTGGTTTAAAATGGAACGATTTTTGGCTCGAGCTGAGGTCTGAGGAGTGAAAGAATGGCCTTTGCCACGTTCAGACAAGAAGGAAGCAAATTTTTGAGTACAGAAAAAGCTGAACCCTGCTGCTTAGCACAGATCTGTGCATTAACAGCTTACAAGATTAAATATTGAGGGAACAGCTACTGAGGTACAGCAGCAGAAAGCTGCACATCTGATGTCTTAGGGCATTAGGGGAGACTTTAAGCTGGGATGGAAGACTGGGAACTGGATCAGCTGAGGCAGTGGCACATGCTGCCATGCCCTGCTCCAGCAGTGGGGCTCTGGGAGGGCTTCTAGGTCAGACAAGACATAATTTGATGAGGCTCCTTTTCTTTTTAGGGCTGCATTAGGGTATTAAATTATGGGACTATATCTGCTTTCACTTAGAGCGGAGGAAAGTGCATTTACTGGCTGATATACTGGAGAGCTGACGTAGCAAAGGAATTTGGTACTGTTCTCTGTTACTGTGCCTGTCCTGCTGGGTAAGAGCAGTGGCATGCAGCAGTTCAGTTTAAGACATTTGATGCAGTGCCATATAGAGAGATACAATGAAAAAGAAAAATCATGGCCCTCAAAATACCCCAAGACCATCAAGCACTAAACAAATAAACATGTGCCCCTGTTTAGAGCCAACTCCACTTGCAGTTGGGGAGTGTGTCTCGTGTTCTGCAGCCACTGGGACCCAGGCCTTTTGTGTAACTTTTGTTTGTGGATTTAAGGAGGCTGAGCCTTTTCCTGATGTACTTTTTAGCTGAGGTGAAATCAAAGGGCCAAAGAACCGGCATTAAGTGAGGATCAAGACTGCCTGGTGTTTGGAAAGGGTAAGAACATCTTGTTATCCTCAGTGAGGTGGTGAAGGTGTAGATCTGAAGTAGGACTGGCAACTGGAACAAACACTTAACGGGAGGTGGCTGTTTGGAAAGTTTAGAGTTAAAAATACCAAACAAAAAATCCACTGGGGTGAGAAGAGACTGAATAAGAGATTGTGGTGCAACATCGTTGTCTCAGAAATAAGCCAGTGCTTTTCCTCACCTGGGTTTTAGAGAAGAATCAAAAGCAGAAATGAAAGGCTGCGATGCCGCTTTGCAGAGGGGAGAATTCCTGCCTTCAGGTGTGACCCTGCCATTATGGAGAGATACCGGAGCGATCGAGGGGGCTCAGCAGTGTGCAATTAGAGCAACAGTGGGATGGCAGGATGTGACAGTTGAGCAGATGAGATTGGAGATCATTTGTATGATCATGGGGAAAAAGGAGGAGATTAAATTGGGGTTGCTGTGAAAACGCTTTCCTATGAATTATATTCTTCAGGGGGAAAAAAGGCATATTCGTGTTATTTGCATTCGATGAAACAGGAATTTGATGTGGCATTTGAAAAATCAGACTAGACAATAGAGGAAAAACGTCTTTGTTGGAATGTTTGGGCCTTGGAGGCAGCACTGGAGGTGTTGAGGGGAAGCTGAGCTGCTGAGGAGAACGCAGTGCAGGAGGTGCAGAAGGTTTGTGCTAGGTCTGTGTGACAGGGATCTGTTTGATGACCTTACCAAGAAGGGGAGAAGCCTCTTTGTTTTCCTTTCAGAGGTGCTCAGCACCTCTCTGACTAATTTTAGCAGGGACTGTGAGTGCTGGAAGAGGGAGGATTTGTTGAGAGGGCTATAAAGTTTCTGAATTCTCTTGCCCCTGCACCGCTGCAGTCCCACCCAGCCCAGGGGCTGAGCCCTTTCAGTAGTGCTGTGGGTGCCTCTGCCTCCCACCCAGTGGGCATCCTGCCTCCTCATCTCCCTGAGATCCCTGTTCTGCCACTATCCAGCGGAGGCAGCATCACCTCTTTGATCTTAGGAGGACAATTTTTCTCCGTGGAGCTGGCAGGGGTTGAATTACAGCAGCGTCTTAATAGAAGGCAGGGACCCAACACATTAAATGTGCAAAAAACCCAACCCACTGATTAGCAAAAGTAGGCAGTTCATCCCAAAGGTGCCATGACCCTTCTGCTGGATAATTTTCCAGGTCTGTCCAAGTTGAATTACTGGCTCTGTAGCCAGACTCCTCCTCCTGGTGGTTCAGTGAGTGGAGCGAGTAGGTCACATTGGTGGGAGCTCCTTGTCGTAGTGTTCCCGGATGCATCTCGAGCCTCCTGGCATCTCTTCAGCAAAGCCAAAACCCAGCTCTTAAAAACTGTTGCTGCATTTGCTATAATAGGAGCCACGGGAATGAGGCTTCTTTGGAGAAATGCAGTGCTTGATTATTAATTTCCTTAAGTCGTACCATAAATCCCTCATGTTTGAAGCATAGCAGGGTCTGGGAAATTATTGGAGCCTTTAACATGCTGGAAGGGTTTTTTATTCTTGTCTGAAAGATGTGCAAAAATCTGGTAACCTCCAAATGTCCCACTTGTATTTGTTTCTTAGTTTGCAGAATGCCTTTCACCATAGCAACTAGGGTCTGATTTCCTCAAGCGCATGAATTTTCATGGATTTGTGGCAGGGGGGAACGGACCCAAAACCCTGAGCTAAAGCAAAGGTTTTGCAGTGTGGCAGTGGCAGGAGCGCTACTGGATTTGGCTTGTGAAGGAGGCAGGGGACCCTGGAGGGACAGGATCTCAGCTGAACAAAGACCTGCACCTGGCCCCAGCCAATTCTATCTGCAAAAAAATCCAGCCTGACAGATTAATTTAGACTATTGCTGAATGTCACCCTCCCCACTGCTGCATCACCCTCTGGCAGCTGAGGTGGCTTTGCTCCAGCTTTATGAGGAGCTGAGGTTTCACAGGGCAGCAGTCAGGGAAGGATCGGCCGCTTCCATGTTCACAGACCCATAAAACCTCGTACCCTTCCCACCCGTGGGGGTCAGAAGGGTGTTATGGGCAGCAGGAAATGTGCTCCTCTTCGGTCTGCAGGTGAAACCCAGCTGGGGAGAGGCAGGAATGTTGTGTGAGCAGGAGGGAGCGGAGCTCCAAATGGTCTGGGGAAATCGGGTGGAAACAAACAGGCTGCTGCAAACAAGGGCGGGAGGGAGCGGTGGCACCAGTGTAGGGTGGAGAAGTGCCCGATACCAACCCCATGGGCCAGGGTTTGGGTTAGGAGGTGGTCTCTGGAAATAAAAGAAAGAGGCCAATGTCTGCAGGGTAAACCTCTGACTATGCTTGGCTGAAGGGTTCACCCAGTTCTGGGTACCGTGGGTGGGTGCAAAGAGCCCAGGGGGCAACAGTAAGATAATTGGAGGGGTAGAAAATGTCTACAAGCTGGGGCTGGAAAGACTTAGAGTTGTTTTGAGTTAATAAAGGGAAGGAGGGCAGCATGTGAAGGTTCAAGTAGTGTATCCTCTAGTATCCAGTAGTGGATACTTTGTCCTCCATGCTCTGATGGTAGAGCCATAAATAATGCGCTTAAGTTGCAGCAAGAGAGCAGGAAAATCCTTGGAAAGGGAAGGATAATGAAGTACTGCTCTAGAGGAGCTGGGAAATGGGGATCCTGGTTGTTTTGAGGGAGCAGAGATATTAGTCCAAGTTCTGCCACCAAGGAGCTCCTCCTCCCTAGGGGAAGGAGAGGACAGTGGAGCTGATGACCTTTGCTGGTCCTTTCTTCAGCTTGTCACTTTATGATTCCTACGTGGAATGCATGCAGAACACCCAGGAGACGGCATCTGTGAACGCACCAAGAGCTTCTTGGCATTTATGTGGCATTTACTTTGGCTCAGGAAAATAAAAATATGAAGAAGAAGCCTCCCATCACATGCCTTGGATCTTTCTCCCCGAGCTCCGTGTGTGCTGCATCTTCTTACTTTGGTGGTACTTTTCCAGAGAGCGATGGTTATATTGTTATTGCTTCCCAAGGGATTTTCCAGTGTCACAGAGGAGATACTCCTGACTTGGGAGGTGGGACTTTTATGACAAAGATTCTGTCCCTCCTGAAGTCTGCAAGCTTTATTCTTCCCAAAGGAGATGAGGTGAAAGGGCCTCTGCTGCTGCCTTTTAAACCTGCCAGAGGCTGAAAGAAAAGGAGAGGGGAAGGGCTGTTCCTTGCGTTATCCATGTGGAAGGACTGGATGCTATATTGGGGATGGAGAGACACTCCAGAGCCAGCTGCACATTTGCAGAACAGAACAATCTGCAGCTCTGTGGCTGGTGCTCCTGGTGATGGCCCCGGTGACATCTGGCCTTCCCTGTCCTTCCTAACCCTCCCTTCCATCCCTGGGACTCCGTGCGACATCTTCATCCTGTGACACCTGGGCAGGACTGGAAAGTGTTGGACCCCCAGCCAGCGGTCCTTCAAAAAAAGCCACGAAAAGGAAGCAGTTGCTAATTTGGAGAGGAGGCTGGGAATGCCGGGAAGAGCCGCCTCGCTGGATGAGTGCCTGCCTACCTGCTTTTCCTACGCTCCTCGTGCATTATTCCTGGCGAGCTCCCAAGCACAATTAAACCTCTGACAGATAATCAGTGGTGGAGTGGTGTCCAGGGTGAATAATACAGGAATCAGGTATTTCTTTTTTTGGCACCAAGTTGTTTCAGAAAACACATTTTGAAAGTCAAAAATAGAAGGAAAAAGAATGTGTTCATTGAACAAACTGCCCAGATCCTGACATGGTGCCTGGTTGTGTCTCGTCTTCTGGGGGCCACCATGGGCTTTGGTTTGGGATTTGTCTGTTGTAGTTTTGGGGGAGTTTGGGTCACAAATGGAAGGGGGCTTGGTGCATTTTTTGGAGTGAGGGAGAAGGAGCTCTGACAGCACGTGCTGCAGCCTGGGAACTGTGGCAGCTGTGGAGGTAACAGCCTTCTGCAGAGGGCCTGGCAGGTCTGTGGGGGAGTGAGGCACATTAAACAGGTAGGTGGGATCCAAAAAGCAGAGGACTGGAGGCTGTGGTTTGTGCAGCAAAGGAGGTTGATCAGAAGAGCTCTAAGGGATCCAGTTTGCTGGAGTTCAGTGCACTCTCTTAGAGTCTGTCAGTGTTTCCGAGTGTTACTTGCACATTTCAAGATATTTTTAATCCATCCGTGGTTCTTTGCCATTTCCTCTATCAATCCTTTTTGCTTGGTGCTGGTATCAGCTCTGTAACCCAGCAGTTTGCCAAGGAGTCAGCGCCTTCCTGCTGTATCTGGCATGGGAACTGCAGTTGTGCTTTCGCCAGATGATTTGGAAGGGCAACTGTTCTCTGCTCTTCTCCAGTGTTTTCCATCCCAAGCTGTGGATGTATTACAAGCATTAATTCAAATGTATCATCCCTTATGAGATGGAAAAATACCCAGGGGAGGGTGGGAGAGTCTGCAAACAAACGTGATTTGTTGCTCCGTGTTGAGGCACCTCTTCAGAAGCGCCGCTTAATTTTTCTCCGTGCTTGTCAGCGGGTACCTGGGATTTTGTTTGTTCCTTCCCTTCCCCGAAGGGGACAACAGCACCGTAGCATGCTGATTTCCCACGGAAAGCAGCCTCCCATCCCTCCTGGCTTCCCATCCCTGAAGGAACGGCTCGGGGGCACGCTGGGATAGCGGCTGCCGGCGGGTGAGCTGGGAAGTGTTGTCACTGAGTGCAGAGCAGATGAAGCTCTGAAGGCTGCGGCTGCTCTGAAGCTCCACTTTAACCTCCTGGTTGGAGCTCTCTGTGCGCTGCTGGACCCCCGTTCCCAGCGCTGGCGTGGCTGTCAGAAGTCACCTCCTGCACGTGTTCTCCCGTGGAGGCAGAGCCCGGTGGCACCTGGCGCGTTCCCATGCCTTCCTGGATGGGATCTTTGGGTGGATAAACGCCTTCAACCCGGGCGAAGCAGAGGAGCAGGGATTGCTGGCATCCCGTCCTCAGCGTGGTCCGTGCAGCAGCAGTGACAGTGAGCTCATCCACAGCCGTGGGCTCCCGGAGCTGTCAGCCTCTTCCTTCCTGCCTCTCAGAAGTACTTATTTCTGTGTTTGTTCCAGATAGGGAAAACAGGACCCCCCTGAGCTCCCTGCCGAGAGCAGCCGGGTTTGTGAGGCGGATTGGTCACAGCCTAATGACATTACACGGCTCTGCTCGCCCACAGCGCCGGCCCACCGGGGACACTTCTGTGCTGTTGATCTGTAATAGCCCAGCCCTAAGGCACTGCTTCCTGCGGCTGGAGTTCACAGCAGAACTCCCCACAGTCCGGGAAGGGGTGTGTGTGTGTGGGTGGGGGTGTGTGTGTGTGCTTAGATCCATTTTATCCCGTGGTAATGCTGCTCTTTGGTGGGAATTTTTGATTGCAAGGCAATTAACAACAAGTCGTTGCTCCCTCGGCGTTTCTGAGCACCGATGCTCTCAGCAGAGCTGCTTGGACTTTTTATGAATTCAGGATGGGTCTTTTTTTTTTGGCTGAATACCGTAAACGACATAAGGCTTTAAAAACTGATCAATAATCCTGATGGTCGCAGCAAAATCCAGGCCAGGCTGCGTGAGTGCGAGCCAGAGATTACGTGAAGGAAGTTTTAAATACCTCTGCCTCCCTTCCCTTCCCTGGACTTTTGTCCTCCTGTTGCCCAGTGCTTCTCCAGCTGAATCCATTAATATTTCTCATGCTTGTTGAGCCCGTGACAGGTGATTTTAAAGCCCTGGTTTGTGTTGGCATCTCTGCTCTTCATAACAGGAGCTGAAACGTGTTGCCGCTGTCCTTACGTGGTTTAGCACCATGATTTATTACTGTTGTTTCCAGGTTGCAACACAAAGGTGCTGTCTCATTCCCAGAGGGTTGTCTGTGGGAAGCAAGCCCCCCCAGGAGGGCAACTTGACAAACACTCACACTTGGGAACAGGACATCATTTAGGTGCCTGTTTTAACTGCTTCATTGTGAGGAGTCCTTCTCCTTCGCTTTTGTGTCTTCATTGCTTCAGCAAAACCTACTTTACAGGCTTAAAAGGGGGGGAAAAATGCGGAAAAGAGTCATCCTGGTTTTGATTTGTTGCTCTGCCTTTGATGAGAAGTTGTTGTGGTTTGGGGGCTGAAGTTTGTACAAGCAGTTTTGGCTCAGGTTTGCAAGGAGCGAGCGGTTTGATGTGTGATTCCATCTCTCCCAAAACAAGTCTTCAGCCTCTTGTCTTCCTTCAGAAAATGATTGTCTCGCCCCAAGGGAACCCTGCTGTGTAATTTGTGGGTAATCGAGGGGAACGGACCTCAGAGGGAGAAGAGTTTTCAGCATCTGAATGGAATTGTCTTAAATGGGAGAAATTGGGGTATTAGAAATTACAGGTGTGCTGCTGGCTTTTCCTGGCTCAGGATAAATGACTTTGGGGAAGAAGTGGAGGAAAACTTGCTTTCTGGGAGCTACTGCGGGGCTGCCTGCCTTTCATCATTACCTGCACGGTCGTGTCCTTGGATCTGGCCCCCTGGAAGGGAGAGAGAGAGGGAGAGGGAGGAGCTATTGCTTGTGGTAGTTTGCAGGCTGACCTGTGAAATATGGGTTATCCATCGACCAGTTCTCTCCCTCTCTTAGGGACTCATGGCTTTCAGGAAGGGCAGTGTGGCTGTAGCCTCTGCCATCCCCTGCAGATCCAGGGATGCTGCTGCCAGGAGGGTGCTGTGCCACTCTGCAGGCACCGGCTCTGTCCCCATGGGAGACCCCGTGTCCTTCTAGGCATCCTCACTGAGCTGTTCCTGAGCCTTTGGCTGTGGTTTGAAAGGCAGGGCACATCCCTGGCTGTTTTCTTGGAGGTGCTGGGTCTGGGGTTAAAAGTTAACAATGCTCTTTCCTTATTCCATTCTAATTCGATTTGGGAAGGCAGCAGGGAGACAGGGGGCACTTAGTCCTCTAAGTGCTATTCCCTTGATGGGAGTTAGTAGCTCGTGCAGCATGCGTGGTGTTGATTTTGTGAGCTGACCTTTACCTCCATCAGGTTCATTCTCATTTGTAATACTTAAAGAAAAAAATCCCAACCTCTTATTTATTCTTTCGGCATCGAGGACGTAAATCCTTTGGCGTGTTTGGATTTGTAGAATTACTGTGCTTTTGCTGAGCCTTGTGTCCCACTCCAGCCAAATGACACAGCTTTTGGTGACTGTGATGGTGTTTCTCCTCCTCCTCTCTGCCTCCCTCCTGCCTGCTTCTGATCCACACCTGCTCATGCTCCCTGCAGCCTTTTCAGGGAGAGGTGGGTCCTTGGCAACCGTGGGAAGGGACAGGAAAGGGAGTTGGGCAGTCTTAGGGTTATCAGCCTTTGCTTCTGAAGTGCAACAACCTCCAGGTACCTTCTTTCCTGGTGCAGAATTAAAACTGCCATAAGATGCTTTTCCAGGAGGCATTTCATCAGCTGTGCCACAGACCTCCTCCGAAACCGGAGCGTTTCCGTGGTGGCTGGGGAGAGGGGGGAGTTATAAATATCTTTCTCGGCTCTGCTTGGCTTCTCCCCAAGATAAGTAGAAGTGAAAGTCAAAAGTAGAGGCTTGGCCTTCTAAAATCCCCGGGGACCTGAGCACAGGATGCTTTTGTGACAGGAAGCCAATTCCTGGTGTTTCAGGGGCCTTGGAGGATGACGTTTGAGGGCCCTCCCTCCCCTCTGCCCGAGGCAGGCCTCAGATGTACAGTGATCTCCGTGCCTGGTGGCTTCTGTGGTGGGAAGCCTCAGGGAGCACGGGAGCATCCGTGAGAAGCCAGCCTGAAACAAGAACAACAGTAAAAAAAAAAAAGTCTGTGCTTGTCCTCTAAATCTTGTAGCGTGTTTACTCTCAGAAAGTACAGCCACATTACCAAAAATCAATAGTTCCAGCAGCATTCTCCCTGGGAAACACGCAGATACTTGGACACGCGGGAGGTGGTGAGTCTTATAAAAGCCAAGGGAATTACAGAGTGCTTTGGTACAAGGGCTCCTCTGCTGCACTTCTGGCAGTGCACAAATGGAGGGCCCTTGACCTGGGCAGTGTCTTCTGGGGCTTCCTGATCTTCCTTCTGCTCTCATGAGTCAGAGGCTGTGTGAGGCAAGAGGGGCTGCGGGCAACCAAGCAACCAGCAGCAGGACAAGAGGGCTCGGTCTTAAGCTCTGCCAGGGGAGGTTTAGGTTGGATATTAGGAAGAAATTTTTTACAGAGAGAGTGATCAGACATTGGGATGGGCTGCCCAGGGAGGGGGTGGAGTCACTGTCCCTGGAGGTGTTTAAGGACAGACTGGATGTGGCATCAGTGCCATGGTCTGGGAACCACGGGGGGGAGGGGGTGGGGGGTGTTGGACTGAGAGTTGACTTGATGATCTCAGAGGTCTTTTCCAACCCGGCTGATTCTATGATTCTATGAAGGGTTTGTCTCATTAACTAATTTTTGCTTTGAAGTACACGTGTTTTGTAATAAAAACAGGTTGTGATGTACAGAGATAACATAAGCAAGTATTTGAAAGGCTCTTCCTTTGGCTGTTCTGTGTAAAGGTTTGACTTTCAGAGCTGCTGATGGGTCCAGCACATCCCAGCATTTCATTCGTTTCCTTCACAGAATCGCAAAATGGTTTGTGTTGGAAGGGACCTCAAATACCACCTCAGACCACCCCCTGCCATGGGCAGGGACACCTTCCACTAGCCCAGGTTGCTTCAAGCCCCATCCAGCCTGGCCTTGGACACTTCCAGGGATCCAGGGGCAGCCACAGCTTCTCTGGGCAACCTGTGCCAGGGCCTCCTCATCCTCCCAAAGTAGAGTTTCTTCCTTATATATACTCTAAATCACCCTCTGTCTGTGTGAAGCTATTTCCCCTTGTCCTGTCACAACCATGCCCTTGTCCCAGAGTTCCCCTTTTAGGCACTGGAAGTGGCCTCTTCCAACCTGCAGTGAGCTCTGGAGAGCAGAAAGTCATCCTTCTTTCTGAGGTCAGCCAAAACAAAAAGAGAAAGGTGACCAACCCCTTTTTACTGCCATCTCTTATTAATGAGACATTTTATCCTGAGCCCTCCAACATGAGCGACGCAGGCTTTTGGGAACATAATTAATCTTTAATTGTATAAATCTTTAATTGTATAAAATGGAGTTTGTGTGGCTGTAGTAATTTCT